TAGAAACCGAATGTTGTTTTGAGAAACAAGCGTCACTGCAATAAAAGCTTTAGTGCAGCATGTATAAAAGCGATTGTTGTTTGGTCTTATTGAGCCTTGGAAATGTAAATCACACACCAGCGTTGCCTCCGGGTGATTCCTTTATAATGAAATTCATGAATCTTCAAATGTTACCCTCCAATTTGATTAATACAGACCACAGTATATGCAGTATTCATACCGTGGGTTATGATATTAAAAAAGTGTGCCTATCTGTGTATACCTCCTGTGCAAGTTAATCTAGTAGTCTTCTACAAACCAAACCCATCGCTGACCCCTGCAGAGGGAGTCATTTCCACTCACGCTGCGATACCAGAAACTTGCTGAATCTGGATAACTTTATTTAAAGTTCAACTTTAGAGGAAAATATTCCCAAAGAGAGCGAGAACGAGACGGAAAAATAAAATATACAGATCTGAGGAACAGTGGGCCTGCAGAGAGGCCTGTTTTTGCTTTTTGATCAAAATTATCATAAACTTTAGTAAGTTAACCAGAGTAAATGCAAAATATGTTTTTCAAATTATGATTTATTTTGTTACGGGTAGAAAGGTACTCAAACCAACCTTGACTTGTGTGTAAATGTAATTTTCCTTCTCATTAAATCAATAATTAACTGATTAACTTTGATTTGTACTATCCGAATAAAAAAAAGATACTTATATAGAACCTGCGGGCAGCATGAAGTAGGCCAAATGGTCTCAAAAAGCAACACTCCACATTCAAGAAAACATGAAAACTCATTAAAGTTGACTAATTATGCTTCCTTGACCAGGTCAGGGTACATCTATGGCCTGCTTACCAAGCTAAATTTGAAGGTTACAACAGTTTATAAGGTAAAATAAGCTAAGAAGCTAAAACTAGCTAAAATACTAATGATCAAATCTAGGCTAGCATTTGCATGTTGACTACAGTAACATAATCTAAGCAGTGTCAAAAGCCCATGTAAAATCAACAAATAGCTAAAAAGTCAAAGCTAGCTAAAAAAAAAAAGTAATGCTAGCACCAAGGCTAGCACTAGCATGACACATACTCCATGCAGAGTGAAACGAAATCCATGTAAAAGCTAAAACTGGGTAAAAACATATTAATTATAGCATCTAGGCTAGCACCAGCATGGTGACCTCAAATATACTCCATGCAGTGCAAAAATATGTATAAGCTCAAATTAGATAAAATGATATTAGCTGAAAGGGTATCAATATTATGTTGGTTTTTGCTTTCATGATATCTGACAATGGTAGTTTTAATACACCACCAAACCATAGCACCAATAATCTGCTGGATGTAAGAACAGCTTGTATGCAAATTTATATGGAACAGTCCTTTAAAACTAATCACTTTTCTCCAGGTGTTAAACAGCACAAAAGCTGTTTAACTGCCCAACCTGAGATTTCAGTCTAGTCAGTTCTACTTGTGAGCTACTTTCAGAATGAGCTGTTTTAGGGTGTTCTGTCACTTTAAATCTAAATTAGCGGCCTCTGGCCACTCCCCAACTCAACATTTATACTCACAGTAACAATGGCTGCAATCAGATGGGCAATCATACAACCATACGTCTTTGAAAATCATAAAAAGTGAACGAATATACTTTATTGATCCTCGGGGTGGAAATTTACATTTCACCACAGCCTTTCCAAAGAAAAAAAAAAACCACACACACACACAGGAGCCTGCACTTGAATGCAGCAAGTAGTTTCTGAATGGTAAGTCAACAACTAAACACCTGTCTTTCCCAGCAGCCATTGAAAACGTGGTGGAGCTCCTATTGGGTTGCTAGGTGACGGGCCGGGCTTCAATGGAGTTGCTAGGTAACGGGGCAGTGACCGTTGATTTTTGTAACGGCTCATTTTACCAAAAGACATGGACTTATCTTCGAAAAATGGTTGGATGTTGTCTATTTTAGGAGCTTGGGCTGTTATGGGAAGCAGTCAATACCAAAATGGAAGCATAATAATTTGAAAAATATGAATTTTGCATAATAAGTCCCTATTAATATACTAGTCTACATATGATTACAAGGCACCTTGGAGTAATATTCAATAAAATAAAAACTACAATGAATTTTGTTGGGCTTTATGTTACAGTTAAACACAAAGTAAAGTGAAACTATGAAGTAGGATATTTGTTTATTTAAAATTTCTTAAAAAAAAAAAAAATCAGACCCACTGAACCACCATGCTGTTAGTTTCAGATCTTTTGCATCCTCTACCAGGATTATCCTGTAATTAGCAAACATTTCCTCACAACATGAGGAACACCTCCGTTTTTCCTCGTGAATGATGCTTCAGGTTTCTATAAGACATGATTTTTTATTTTTTTTACATGTAGGCCAGAGTTCATTTTGTTTTGCTCTGATCTCACCAGGGGTGTAAATACTTCCTTCAGACTTGTGGAAGTTGGATCTTTAAACTGTTAAATAAAACACCCAATTATGTGTTTTTAAATTAAAAATATAGTGTATGAGAGCAGCTGTAGGATGATCCGTCTGAACAGTAACGGCAAATATTCTTCAGATGTTACAGGAAAAAAAGGAAACACTGACACAGGTGGGTTTTTGAGGTTTTTTTTAATTGCAGAAAGCAGTCCAGTTGTCATAAGGCGAACTAGAAATGAAATAATTCAGAAAATAGCCTGAATGCACCTCAAGCCTTCCCTTTAATCTCACAGCACACTCTCCTGATGCGTTTCATGTTTTTCAGAAACAGAAAGTTCTATAAAAACCAAACCAAAACTTTTCTACTTCAAGCTGTAGTGTTATGTTTCTGTGTTCATTCGGGGATCTCCCTCACTTTTGATGTAAAAATCCAATATTTTTTCAGATCAAACGGTTCTCAGTCCTTCATGTTTAATTTGAAAATGAATATTAACAATTTCCTCCAAGTAATCTATGGCAGATTTTTCTACAACGCTCAGGTTTTAACATATGGACAAGCCGAGGGAGGAAGGAAGGAAACTAAGAGGAAAGGAAGGAATGTGGGACACGGAAAGTAAAGTAATGAAGGAAAGAAGGAAGGAATGTTGCACATTATGAGCTAAAAGATGGAAAGAATGAAGGCAATACACTTAGAATAGGAAGGAAAGAAATAAAGAAGAATTGACACTAAGAGGAAGGGAAAGAAGGAAGAAAGGATGCTAAGAGGGAAGGAATGAAGGGAGGTAATACATTAAGAAAAGGAAGGAAGAAATGAAAGGAGGGGAGAGTAGGAAAAAAGAAAGGAAGGAAGCAATGAGGGAAAGAAAGAAGGATGGAAGGATGCCAGGAAGGAAGGTAATACACTAAGAAAAGCAATTAAGAAAGGAAAGAAGGGATGAAGGACCCTAAGAGGAAAGGAAGGAAATAAAGAAAAATAATAAAGGACATACGGCAGATAAAAACGTAAACTGTGACAAAAGGAAGAGACCAAAAATAATAAATAAAAGGACATAATATTGTGACAACAGGATAGGAAACAAAGTCTGAAGCCATTTCCCTCACTCATTCAGATCAAGAAAATACTAAAGTCAAACTCCACACCGTTATGAACGTCATTACCCAACTCATGGCACCGAATAAAAACAGCAAAGTGACCGTAACCGACAGCAGCAAACACCAGGTAACGACAATAAGAGACAGAAACGTCTCTTAGTTTGAGATAATCTCATAAAATGCGTCCTCATCCATGATGGATGAACTGGAATTTGTAGTGACCAGTTTCTATTTCTATGTAGTTGCAGGAAAAGTTTTAAACTCCCACAACCAGGTGAAGATGCGAGTGTGAACACCGACACAGCAGCTAGCAGCCAAACGTCAACAGATGATGAGGGTATACTGGGAGTGATTTGATCCGTTTGCCTCACAACCTCATGAGGTCAACAGATGAAGTCGACCTCAACTTTAAAAAACTATATTTAGTGGTAAATTGTATAAATACAGTCTGTTTTTTTTAGTATTTGACAAAATAAGGCTTTCTCCAGTCTTCAAGATGGATGATATGAACACATGAGGACAAGAAAGGAATAATGACTATGTTCAAAACGCCAAATGGGTGGGTAAACACATTTTTTACCCACTCAGTTTCACTCAACATGCACTAATGACTGGAAATTTGTCAGCATCTAGAGGAAATTTGCAGTAGTTAAAACACTACATGTTTAATTCCTTCAGAACAGCAGGAGTCGATACATTTCACTCCCCCAGTTTCAACTAAATCCTAGTTATTTTCACAGCCAGCGTCATCCAAACTAAAGCCCTGCTGCAGATTAACGATCTACTGACAGAGTTGTGAAACGTTTAGCTGCAAAACTGTGAAGAGTTGGTTTTATCAGTTCTTGTTTTGTGGGTTAGCATCTCCAATTTTCAGCCCCACACCCATCAACCAAGAAGTTACGCTCCACAGCGATGATTTAGAGCCGCTAAAGAAGCAGCTCCAGCAACTGGCTTCACATTAGCAGAGTGTCAGAACCGTTTCATCGTTTTTTTTTTTTGTTTTGTTTTTCTGAACGTTGGCTTTCCAGCTATGAGGTCACTTTCTGATGAAAACGTTGAAAACCAGCTGCAGGCTCAGGGAATTTATTTTGCTCTTTTGTCTCGGAGAACTACATGCAAAATGAGAAAGAAGATGGAGTTGAGGGGATGAACGAGTGGAGGCACAGCATGGGAAACATAAATACGCTCTGGAGGATAAAAGGGAAGGAAAATGACTGGAAGAAAAGCAGATTCTGTTAATGTGCAAAGGGGAATTTTATGAGAACAGAACCTGAGAAGGAATGCAGGTTTAAGGAGGAAGAAGGAATGAAAGGTGCACTGAAGCAGCCTGGGAAGGGAAGGAGCTAGGGGTGCACCGACATGATAAATCGGTCCGTCAATTTGGGGACTGGCCGATTCTTGAATGTGACAGAGCCGCCCACCAGGTCATGTCTGCACTACTCTGCAACTTTCTTGCTATATTCAGCAAACGACATTACAGACAAAAAATAAAATAAAAAAAATAAAAAAATCAGTATCGGCCAAAATCACAATCGGTGCACCCCTAGTAGGAGCTGTTTGTTTTCTGCTTTCCTCTTCCTGTAGTTTCACTCACAGTCATTTTCCCGCAGCACGTTGTACATGTTGACAGTGAAGCCTGATGACGGCTTGTCGTCGCTCCACCCCCGATGTCCAAACCCCTCATCTTCATCATCACCGTCCTCGTCGTCGTCAGCATCCCTGTCCCTCTCCTCCTCGGGCTCGGAGCTGGATTCTCCGTCCTCCTCGTCTTCCCGCTCCGCACTCCCCTCCTCCTCTGCTGCTCTCCCCTGAAGAGCCATAATCTCAGGCAGGTCTGGATGGTTTTCCCAGTGCTCTGTTAGCCGGGAGTAATCCCCAAAAAGACGTTAAATCCAGCAGAAATTTAACCCTTCAAGAGCTTCTGGAATGAGCAGCCGTACCTTTGAGGCAGCTGTAGCCAGGCGGTCTGAGACAGAGACAGAGCCTGCCATCGATCGCCAGCCTCAGTAGACTGTTGGCTGCACGGTAAACATCGTTGCGCGCAGCTTTCGCCGTCTTGTAGCCTCTCCTTTCTGCCCAAGCTGAGCAACACAAAGACAGAGTGAGATCTTTAGCCGGAGCTCTCAGGGGAGCCATTACAACGTTCGATATTATTCATAATTAATGGATGTTTACAAACTTCCTGTCGTCCGTTTCCTTGAAAAGATTAAGGCTAAAATTAAAACCTTCTGACTAGGGATGCAAGTTATCGATTGAGTTTTCTTCTTAATAGCCTGATCCAAAAGAATCGGGTTGCTAACTTGGTATCAATCCTTCATAATAAGCAAAATAAAACCAGCGGCAAGAGTAGAAAGAAATTATTTCCTTTGAACAGGAAGAGACCAAAAACATTCCCAGTTAGCATCTTAATATCAGCTACATTAAAGTTTAGCATGGATTAGCACGGACGTTTAGCATCAGCCTGCCGTGGGATTAAACGTTGTCTCACCTTCACACACATCCCAGGCGGTCCAACTGGGCTCCTCCGTGCTCTGCTGGGATTCTTTCTCTTGCAAACTGGGATGTTTGAGCTTGAGCACAGAAAGGTCAGGCATTCTCTCGCACAGGTAACCAACTGACGTGTACGGCTCCTGCAGCTGGGCCACCGGGTAAATGCCCGCTAGAATCTGAGGAGACACACCCAGATGATTTAGAGAGCCAGGTATTTAACTCGTCTTAGATTATAGGCAGGTTTAAACTCAGACATGGTGAGCCGTACCTGTAGCTGCTTGTTGACGCGGGAGGGGAAAACGAGGCCAGGGCAGTCGCAGAGTTTGACCGTCGGGGTGAGGTAGTAGGTCTGGAAGTACTTGGTGTGACCCGGCGTTCGAGAGACGCTCACTACTTTCCTCCCCACTAGGCTGTTTATTACGGAGGATTTACCAACATTAGGAAAACCTGGGAAAATAAGTCCAACCACAGGTTAGGATTTAGGGATGCACCGATACACTTTTATCTTATTTTTGATACCAATATATGAGATTTACTATCGGTCGATATCGATCTGATACAGACATCAAGCATTTCTGTTTTTTTAAAAACACAGACGGAAATGTACAGAATTACAAATTTATTTGATAATTGCGCACCAGTACATCAAACGTAAACACAACAATAGCTTCAACAACAAAAAGACACTGTATGGAGCTCTGGTAGTGCCAAAAAAGAAATTCATTTTGGTGGTTTCATTTTTTTTTTTTTCAATAAAATATGGTTAAATTTGTTGTAATGTTTTGTTTTATGTTTTTTTAGACTGGATTTTAAAAAAAATACTCTTCAAAATGTTCTTATTGTTTTATTATTATTACAGTTGGCTGCAAAATAAATTAGGGTATTTATTTATCAAAACAAGCAATTTCAGACATTTAAGAATAAGTTTATTAATTTTAGGAAGTAAAAACACGGGAGAGTCCCAGATTTGTAGATGGTGCCAAAGCCAGAAAGCCTGGGATCCATTATGACAAAATCTCCACCACTGACAAATCTAGTGAATGTTTTTTAAGTTTTGTAATGAAACTCACCTATGCAGCCCAGAGTGAGGACTCCGTCTTTGTAGAGCTCCTGGTTGCTCATCTCCAGAGCGCTGTCGCTTTGATGCTCCACCAGAACCGATTCAGCTCCTTCGTCCTGCAGCTCTCCGTCCAGCCGCGCTGCAGCAGCGTCTCTCTGGATCTTCTGCTCCCAGCTGGACAGGTCCACTGAGAAAAGGAAGAAACAGTGAGACGTTTTGAGAGGGTGATTTGTTTCTATGAGGTATCAGTTGTTAAGGTAAAGATGAAGAGCGTAGGAACTCTTCCTCTCACCTTTTCCGGCTGTGATCTCTTGGCAAGCCTTAAAGATATCGATAAGACCTCCGGCGCGACTCCAGTCAGCCTTTTTTCTCATCCTCTTCTTCTGCAACACTTTTTAGAGAAACATAATGACAACAGGTGTGAGAGAATAAAACATAATAATTAACCCTTCAAAACAACAAACAGGGTTATCACAGCTTTGGGTTTTTCATTATAGTTTAGTTTTACTTCTTTGTGGCTTTTTGATTGTCTAATTCAGTTAGTTTGAAGTATGTTATTAGTAATTATCAGAGGTGGGAAGAGTAACCAAAAACTACAGGTAAGTCGCTCTATTTTATCATATTTTTACTCAAGTAAAAGTAAAAAGTGGCCTCCAAGAAATTACTCGAGTTAAAAGATTATCATTTAATCTCTAAAAATTACAGCATCAGAGGAAATGAAATATAAAGTTATGTGGACATGTTGGCATTTTTAAAGATTAAAATGATAATAATTAAAATAATCAGGAAAAAATAAACATTTTTCCAAATCAATTTCATCTGTTTAAAACTCATGATGTATTTTTGGTTAAAACAAGCTGATTCGTTATTCAGTGAAGTTACTCAGAAATTTTACTCAAGTAAGAGTAACAATACTTCATTATAAAATTACTCAGGTGAAAAGTATCCATTTAAGAAATTACTCGAGTCAGAGTAAAAAGAAAAGTGTTTGGTGAAAAGACTACTCAAGTACTGAGTAACTGATCATTTATTATTTAAAAATTACATTGCCAGACGGACTAAGATATAAAGTAAACAAAACCTGAAGTTAGAGTAGTGGTACTTCGTAATAAAATTACTCAAGTAAAATGAAAAGTACAGTGTAGTGGAAATACTCCTAAAAGTGCATTTTTTCCTAAAAGTTACTTTAGTAAATGAATAACTTTTACTAAAAGTAAATTTTTATTTGAGTAAAAGTATAACTGCAACTGTAATGCAGCTACCGTTACCGTAGCAACTGTAGATACAGTTACTACAGTTAGTAGAAACTGTCTAGTTACTGCCAAACTCTGGTGATCTTTAGTTAAATATTGTTTAATTTTAGTTTAGTTTTTATTAGGTATAGCAGTAGTTTCTGTTTTTTTCATACTTTGGCTATTTTTTAGGTGCAGAACTCAACAAGGTCAAAGTATTATATTGAGATTATTTATACAAATGAATACTAAACAGAAGTTACAATTTTCAAAAAATGTATTCAGTTACTGTTGAACAACATCTGACTCCGGCGGTTTCTCCAAACGTTCGCTATTTGCGGACGAGCTAAGTGCTGCCAAGAGGAGTTCAAAGTGCCAGCTGACGTAAACTGCTTGTGTGGGGGGGGGAAATGTAAATATAAATCAATTTCACTTTGGCTTAACGGCGAATAAATCGACCTGTAAACACAAAATCAAAGGAAATGACATCTGTAACTTCAGTATGTTTAAGTTTTATAAACACAGTTAGTTGTAGTTTTTTTTTTGTTATCGTTTTTATTTATCCATGTTAACTACGCTGGCCTTTTCAACAAGGCCTTGATTACTGACCTGTGTTGTAGGATTGTCCAGGATGGGACGTGAAGCAGACCATCTCCAGGTGGGGGAACTGGGAGGCCATGTAGTGTTTCCAGGCGATCACCAGCGGCGGAGGACACAGGTCTGCTTTGTTCAACACCAGGATCACCTGCTTGTGCAGATCCGCTGTGATGTAACGGTACAGATCTGGAGGAAACTGCAGCACCTGGTGGATCCAGACAGACACATTTAATAAATCGTTCATGGTGGATATGTTTTATTATGAGATACATTGAAATGTATAGAAAAAAAAAAAACAATGACAAAAAGATAAGATCTAAAACAACATCATGAATATTTTCATTGTCATTCTGTTGTAGAAAATCAATTAAAAATATGAAAAAAACAGGTAAACCCAACATTGATTACTAAAATAATATTTAAACTATTTAAGTCAGAGTTGTTAAGAGCTACAGGTTAGACGGGTCAATGGACGGAAACAAAGAGACGCTCAAAGAACTTTTGGACAACCCGAGGGCTGATGAGGTGTGGAAACATAATTTTTTATCTTTTTTTTGTGTGTGTTTTTACTTATAAAGCTACAGAAAATATTTCAATTTCACACTTTTCATGCCATGTATAAAAATTCCAGTGTTTTTTTTTTAAGTTGATTTAATTGCAAGAGGCAGTTCAGTTAATTAAATTCAATATATTTGATTTCTGTTTGTCTGAGGTAACACCACCAAATCAACTGATTATTTCCTCCACATTCCTATATTTATTTATAGTATTAGCTGAAACATTTTCTCAGTTTCGTTTTTGTCTTGACATTCCCAGAACAAAAGATTATTTTTTTCATCTAGCAAGAGTTGTTTAATAAAAACATAAAAATAATTGGTAGATATGAACAATAAATGAAGTGAAAATATTGTTGATTCTTGACAGTGGCTCCCCCTAGTGGCCTGATCCATTATGACACTGATGATAGGTTCACCTACCGGGTGTCGAATGTCAACAATAAGAAGGATGATATCAGACATTTCCAAAACCCTCCACAGCTGTCTCCAAGTCTGAAATAAAGAGGAAAATAAAGATTTAGCAACAATCATAAACAGCAACACTGGTGACTTTCTGAATTGCTCTTCATCTGCTTCAAGAGAAAATATCTACATATAGTTAAATAATTCTAATAAAATGAAAGGTAGCTGAAGTGACAACAGTGTGACCCTCTGTTGTAAAGATTTAGCAGATAAAATTTAAAGCTTTGCTTGTGTTGTTCCGCCATGCTCAGCAACATCTAACTCAAATCTCAGCATGCTAAGATGAATGTCTATAACTGCTAGATGCATTAATATGCAGCTGTTTTCTATCAATTCTTCATATCTACTTATTCCACCTGTTGGTAAGGTTTCACAAAGTTAATCACTGTGTGAAAGCTGCTGGAAATGAAAAATATTTTGAAGGAAAAAAAAATGAAAACTATCCGTAGAATTAGACTGAGAAATGAAGGTTTGGATGATTAAATTCAAATTCAAATCCAAAAATACTTTATCAACCCCGAAGGGACATTAAATGTTGTAATTTTCTTCAGAGTTGTTATAGCAGGATTTCCTGTAGCAGTCTGTATTGCAGCACATTACTCTTCCTTCTTGGCTTTACTGTTGCATCTCCAGTCGCTCAGGTGAATACTGAGGTTTAAGTGTTTAGGTGTAGATATTACAAATAGAAAGTAACACCAATTTCTGAGTGGACTTAAAGGGAGTTTTACCTTTTCATCTGACCACAGCTGCAGTATAATCAAAGTTATGAGAGATTCTGTTGACTTTATAAAAAAGGTTGTGAACTTTTACTGGTCTAGACTGTAGAAACCAGTACATCTGATGGCCTTCAGAGTAAAAAGAAAAAACAAAGCAAAAAAGGTGACTTTCCTCGAGGAAAATTACCTGCCTCAAAGCTTCGTTAAATTATATTTTATTATTTAGCACACCGCGTTCCGGCCTGGTGATTTTTTTGTGTTGCGCAATGTTGTTGACAAATGCAAATATGAAAATTTGGGCTGTTGATGTCTGACAGTAAAACTGCTGTTAAAATTTACCAATATTTTATATTATCCCATTTTTTATTCAATTACTCGATTAACCATCAGAACAATTGATAGACGACTTTATTATTAAAATAATCGTTTAAAACAGCCACACGTTGTAGTCTTTTCACTGCTGCTATAAAAGAAAGCGGCAGACTTTTATTTAAACATTTGTCTCGGCGTCCATCGGGGAAACAACGTTACCTCCAGGTTGTGCTCAAAGTGGCTGAGGGAGCCGGGTGGGTTTCTGGAGTGCAGGTCTTCCAGGTAGTCTCTGTAGGACTTCTCCTCCTTCCTCAACAGGCTCTCCCGCGTCATCTCATAAGTCCAAGATGGCCGACGCGGGAAGACGAGACCTGGTGGAGGAAGATTAAAACTCAGCAGGTAAAGAAGCGACTCACCCCTTCACTGCACTCTGCTCATCTAGGGTGCTTTAAAGAAATATAAGAAAAAAAAACAATGATACCTTTCTCTGAAGGGTAGATTTCATCTTTGCTGACTTCTAGTTCTTTGTCCGACACCGGCTTCAGCACCGTCTCCATGGCCAGCTTCTTTCTCCTTTCCACCTCCTCTTTGCTCTCTTTCTCAAAGTGAAGTCGAAACCTTAAAAAAAAAGAGCAAAAAGTTTCATTTTCCTTTTGTTAGTATCCGAAGCTTAAATACAGTGTAATCAAATATCCACTTTTTCTACTTGATCATGACATGTTTAACGAGATCAGCAGAAAGCTGGTGAAAACTGATTACTTATCATAAAATAAATTACAATTTAGCTCTTGTTGTTTCACTTTTTCTGCTAAGGTGTTAAAGCAGATCAGCTTTACCATGAAAAATGATAAATGCCCTCTTAGATCAATGGACATGTTTATTTTAATGTAAGTGCTCTTTCAGCTCCAAATAAAACAGCAGTGTTGAATTAGCTTACCTGTTTGGATCATATCTGCCATCTCTCCCAAAGGGCTGCTGGTTTATTCTTCTGACGTCAGTAGTCTCACTGTCGGAGGTGTCAGACTGACGCTCTCCTCCTCGCTCCACGCTCGCATTGCGGCTGCTCGGACCAGAACCTGTGTCACCTAGACCAGGTTGGCGTCACAGTAAAACTCAATAAATCAAGTTTATTTGTATGGCACTTTTCAGCAACAAGGCCTTTCAGAGTGTTTGCATTGTAAAAACACATGAATAAAATGTCACAAAAACAACATACAGTCAACAACTGGGAAGCTTTTAAAGTATTCATAAACCCTTGAGCTGTTTCACGTTGTAAACCTGATTCAGTGGCAACCTGAAAACCAAACCCCTGCCTCAGGCTAAAGTCCATTGCCGTTTTCAGTATATTTTTAATCCAGGACTGGCCTTTAATTACTTTTTTCTTTTCAACAATCTGACCAGTATCCCCACAGCATGATCCTGCCACCACCTTAGCTTTTTGCTGGGCTGGTATGTTTACACAAAAAAAACCCTATATATATAAAAAATTCAAACAGTTCCTGTAAATCTATCAAATGTAAAGGTATATGTTAAACAGCAATGCATTCCCCTATAAATCTAAATGATATTAAACAGGCAGTTTAAGGCAGTTTAAATGTCCAATCCTACAGCAAAACTTACATCATAACACGTAGCTTTGCAAACCACTATGATGTTTACATACTCGGCCACAAGCAAAAACGTGCTCCACTCTGTCTACTGTAAGCTCCATCCCACATGTTTGCTGTTTATTCACCGCTTCAGTAATAAACGGACGGGCTTAAGTTTGACTTTCAACTTCGACTGTAAGTTACAGTAAACGCGACATGATGCAGTCTGGACAAACACACGTTTCTATAACAGACTAAATGTCTGGAGTCATGTGTTAGCTTAATACATTAACGAAACCTTTAGCCACGGAGGAACAGTTTCCAAAAACTGAATTCTGCCGTGGAGCTAACTGCTACCGTTAGCATGCTAATGCTAACGGCAAAAAAAAAAAAATTAAAAAAAAAAAAAAAATGTTACCTCTCTTTCTCTCGCGTTTGACTTGCAGCTGTTTCTTCTTCTGTTTGTTGCTAAATGGCTTTTTCCGAGGCATGGTCCAAAAAGCAGGAAAGCGGATAAATATATTTAATAGCTCTGTACTGTGTGTCGCTACCACATAGCTTTCAAATTGCCGTTATTTACATGAGTGAAGTTTCTGGACTCCTACACTTTTTCAGTGACGCAACATCCACTGCAGACTGCGGAGAACCGTGGACGGAACCAATTTGATGGTCCGCAAAAACCACCAATAGCGGTTTTATCATGCCTTTTCTTAACAGTTTATATAATTAAATTGTAAAATAATAAAGAAAATATCACCAGTACTCCATTATTGATAAATAAACCCACAATATGTTGGTAAAACTACGATTAAACCCCCCTGTGCTCAAATGGTACAATCCACCTTTGTAAACACCTCATAAAAATGTGCACATTCCAGCAGACGGGCATAAACTCTATGGAAGGTCGTTGTAACATTTAATCCAACCACACATCTAATTTTAGTTTTGTAGATATAAACATCTAGTTTCAATTCATTAGATTCCACCTACAATTTGAAAGAAAAAGTTATTTAATAAATTAAATGACATCCTTATTTGTAATTGTTGTATTTTACTGTCTTGAAAACTGAGAAGGTTTTAGCTGAACCTAAGTTTAAGATGAATAAAAATAAAACTGTAAACGTTTGGAAATCAAAAGTGTAATTGCCATTAAAGCTTAAAGGCTAAATTGAATGTTTTCAAAAATGTTTTTTTTTTAAATATGCCAGACTTCCCCTCTATTTAAAACTATTTATATTGAAAATATTCTGAATTTCTAGAATACATAAACAAAAATGTTCAATCAACTCAGACTAATTATACTAAATGTTTCAATGATTAAATATAACAAAAATTCTATTTGTTATATTAGTTATAAACAGCAATTCAAATACCCATGACTTTTTCCCCATTGAAAATATTTTGGATGTTTAAAATATATTTCCATCTTTAACAAAAGTCACATTTACCGTTCATGTGTGTTCCCATTTCAACTTCAGATATATATTAAATATTTTCATTTATTGAAGAAACACTGATGATTTCTGAAAAAAAAAACATAATTTCCATTTAACCTGTTTTATATAAAAAAAAAATTCTCCATTATGTCCTTTACAGCTATTTAAAATACATTAGTATGTTTTTGTTAAAATGTCTGCCAGTCACTCAGTTCAAATAAATAGCGTTTTAAAGTCACAAAAGGAATAATTAGTTTTAGGAAATGACTTTCTGCAGGGAAAAATGTGGATTGGTCTTTTCAGGATGGAGGTCAGTCAACATCTCAATCACAGGAGTTCAAGTTTCTTAAAGTGCCTTTAAAATAGATGGATTTCCAACTATACAATTCCGTAACTTGATGGAAATTATAATAAATTAAAGAGATAATGGTCCCAAAAACAGAATAAATAATTAACCAGAACATTAGACATTCAGTCCTGTAAACCTCTGACACCCGAGCAAATGACTCCCCAACTGAAATAAAATAGAGGGAAAAATCAAACATTTTATAATCTTTATTGTATTTTAAGCATTAAGAAGAGCTGCACAAACTTTAAGTGAGTTAATGTTTCTTTAAAGAAGTATAATAAACATTGTTATGGTGGAAGTATTATAGCAAGAGGACATTTGTATAACATTACCTTATGGACAAACACACAAAGTACTACACTTGATCACATGACAGCTGAAGTATATTATTTCTTCAAAGGCCATGTGAAACTGCAAATAAATTCATCTTTTAATTCCTTAGATATTCGATCATACTTAATAAAGTGGTAGTATATAACTTTATATACTTGATTGCTTTTTTTTTCCTGTGAAGGAAGTAACCTTTAAGATCCCTTTTAAGGTTTAAAAGATCAAAAGCATGTATGCTACACAAACAGCAGAGGCAATAACACTGATCTAAAGACTGAAAGTCTGTATGAAAGTATAAAAATTTACCTTCACCGTTAACTGCCTGCTCCATCATTGCTATGGTCAAATCTGCATTTGCTCGGAAGATCATTTGGTGGTAACAATAAAAAGAAACAAGTTCAGATCCCATCGTAAAGCCATCACTGTGATGGATTGAAACATACTTAGTCTTTACATGCAGTTTCCACTCCAACAGAACAACTAAGCAGAAAGAGAGAGGAAGAAAAAAAAATGGCAAAAACCAAAAAAATTTAAAAAAGAGAAGTCTTCAGTATAACATGTCAGCGTATGCTTTGTCTTGTCTGCCTCAAATCACTGGTCAGGCACGGTCACTTGTTCCAGAGTTTCTATTTTATCCTAGTATTGCTTTAATCCTTTTAGTCTCCATCTCCTGTTTGCCTCGGTTTCATCTCCCTTCGCCTCTAGGAGTTGAGGTGCTCCACTTGGATGGTGGACGCTGACACAGTGAGACAGAGGTCTTTGTGGGAAGTGATGTCAGACACGCTGACTGGTTTGTACTGGATGTCGCCGGCAGATACCGTCTTGTACTGATGCAGGTCAAACGGACAAGGCATGGTTTCTGTCTGGGGGTAGCTGTTCTGGCTTTGCTGGCCGCCGCCCGCCGCTCCGCCGCCCGCGCCTCCGGGTCGGCGCGAACCTCCGTCCGTGCTCTCCACCCGGCCCTGAGCTCCAGCCTGGCCCTGGGCCTGGCTTTGGCTCTGTTGCGCCGCCTGCGCTGCAGAGACTACAGAAGCAGTCAACTGGTCTGGGTTGTGTTTCTCCATGTGTTTCACCAGATACGTCTCCTGAGATGAAGGGAGGATAGGCAAAGGGGAAACAGTGGACACATGACTACACGGTGTAAAGTAGCTGCCAGGCGTCTGATGCCAGTGCGGCGTTTCATAGTGTTTCATGTAGAAATGCTCTTCAGAAATGGACATTTGTCTTACTGAGGTATAAGAGCGGTTGCAGAGACCACACGAGTAGATCTTGGCGTGTTTGACAGTGTGTGTGGACATGTGCACCTCCAGGCTGGCTGCATCTATATATCCTTTATTACAGTTGGGGCACTTGTAGGGCTTGTCTTTGTTGTGCTGGCGGCGGTGGGACTGGGAGGAAATCATTGTTACAAGAAAAACAGCTTGAAAATGTCAGTAAACTTATTCAAATTCAAAGCAAAAAACACTTTATTGATCCCAAAGGGAAATTATATATTGTTGTAACTCATATTAGTTAAAATTATTCAGAGAGGTTTTATATATTTGAGACAGCGGTGTCCAAATGTTTAGGCATGGGGCCAAAAACACCAAGTCAAAAAGACGACTGGATGACTAAAGTGTCCTTTAGTCATCCAGTTTTAGGTAGAAAGAGAGGAAAAAAAGAGAAAAACGATAAATCACACAAATGGAAATTATTGAGCTCTTTTTAATTTGTCATGAGATTAATTGATTCAATGCTAACTGCGACAGGCCTAATTTTCCCTTCTAATTATAATCGCAAAAACCCTTAAATTTTTACATTTTAATGGCTAAATATACAAACTAAATTCACAATATTTTAATGAAACAAGTAAGGCAGTCAAATTTCTGTAGACAAGTAATTAAAATATCACTGTAGATTTAAAATTAAAAAAGGCTCCTGCAGTTTTGTCATATTAAAAAAAAAACTTAAAAAAATTTAGCAACAAGAACAAGACGTATTTCACTCTTGCCTTATTTTGCTGAGTGCATTAAATGGCCGTGCACAAGGCTGCATTTTAGGAAAAGCCACTGGATGTTTTTGGTCCCTATTAGTAATCAACTAAAAGCATAAATGGATGAATACTTTGTGTTGCACCTTACATTTTATGTTTTAATATTTTAATCATCTGTATCTGGCCATCAGTGAAATTTTCACCCCAACATTGTTTTTAAATGTGGATCTGATTCAACTGTCTGATCTGGCAAATAAAACTTAAGCTATTCTAGAACTGTGATCAATGGCCGCCCAAAATTACTCTGAGGACTGCAAATGGTCCCCGAGCCGCACTTTGGACACCCCTGGTTTAAGAAAAAATTATTTCACACCTGTAAATTTGAGAGTTGGGTGAAGGACTTCTCACAGCCAGGATGGGTGCACTTGTACGGCCGATCGCCGGTGTGGATTCTGAAAATAAAAGAAAAACACAAACACACACACATGTACACAGACTCCTGCAACACACAGGTAGGTGAGAAACCCAAGACGAGAGCCGGACTTACCTGCTGTGCTGCTGCAGGTGACTGAGCTGTCTGAAGCACTTGTCGCAGTACGAGCAGGAGTAAGGTTTCACTCCGGTGTGGATGCGGATATGCTGAGCCAGGTAGCTGGAGTTGGCGAAGGACTTGGTGCAGTGGGGACACTTGTGGGGTTTTGACTCCGTGTGGTTCCTGATGAGGACAGACAGGAAGGAGAAGCACAAACAATTTACAAAGAAATAAAACTTTACTGTCTGATATCATTTTTAGTAGTTTATCAAAAATTTAATGGAGATTCTTTTAGTCAACTACATCAACTGCAAGACTATTTGAGACACAAACAGTAAAGAATTTATTTATTTTTGTTTGTTTTCAGAAAAATGATTTTTTTTTCTGAGAAAAATGCAATATATTGTTGCATTAAGTTTAATGCAACAATATTTTACTAGTAAATAAAAGACATGGATGGATGGATGGATGGATGGATGGATGGATGGATGGATGGATGGATGGATGGATGGATGGATGGATGGATGGATTTTAAGTTAACCAGCAGTAAATGTTTACAATCAAACACCTGATGCAGTGACTAAAGTTTTCAGAAAACATTGTTATTTAAACAAAGCAATGGTAAAACACATTCTGACATTTTCTAACAGTAAATAAAAGCAAAAGTTTTTCGGTGTTAAATTATTCTTCCTTCATTCCAGACCTGTCAGATTTTACTGTTATGTTATGAGAAACGTGACAAAAGAGGCTCCAAAACCCTGGAGCAGCTGAGAAGGAGGACAAAGTTTCATTCTAACAATAAAATCTGAACTATTTCTGCTTCAATGCAGACGATGCAACAGAGTGGCAAACATGACTCAAAACTGTATCTACACTGGTAATCATATTTTTTAAAAAGCATTCATTTAAATGTAATAGGACTGGATGTTTTGAATATTTTAGGTAAAATAAAGTACCTTTATCTGAATCATTGTATTCTTTTTCTGCCTTTTGCAGTGTCATGCTTTTTTGTTGAGGTGCACCAACTTTTCTTGCTGATCACTGATGTTTAAAATGATTAAAATTTTTATTAATACCTATTTTCTTTTAAAATTGATGCTGTCAGGTGTTATAAGGTCACAATAAACCTTCAATGTTCCAATCTTACTTTACTGAAAAACATTTAACAATTCCCATGAAACAACAAGACTTTTAACTGTATGAGGTAGTGCTCGCAAACATAAATAAAAGTTCCTACTGCTAAACTAAACTAAAAAATCAGATCCTTTAGTCTTCCATTTCTCACATTTTAAAAACGAACAAAACTTGCACAACATGTTGGACTGCATATTTATGTTTGAGCTTCTTACCAACAATTAAAGTGAACGACAACGTTTTGCTGATACAAAAATCACAAAGTTTGAGGTCAGTTAAGGACAAACTAACAAAACAACCTAAACCACCAACACGTAGTTCTCATGTAAGGTCACACTTCCATGAACTTTGTAACCGACAGCCCTCTTGGCAGGCCGTTGCTATGGAGTTGCTATGACAACAGCTTAGATCTAGCTCTCTCCTTGTTCCCATCTAACTTATGAACAGTTAGATGACTGTAAATGTGTAAGTACATTACAGCTATTACTTGATTACAATTTGTGATTATGCTACCCACTTCTATGCAAAACTAAGATAAATATCAATGATATTTACTGTGGTACTTACTGTCAAACTATCAAATTTAGCTTAGCTAACGTAGCTTTTATCTGCAAGCTAACACGGACATGTAGCTTACAAGTATGTTACAACATGTACTTACTCTGCCAGTCACCAGAGCCGTATTATAATTCACACTAAGTGTTTGCACGTCCTTTATAATCCTTTTAAACACTGATTGTATTCGGTCATAGATTTTAGGCCAACAGCTCATCAGGGTTGTCCAAACTTTTTGCCACATGGGCCAAAATCATTGAGTCAAAAGGACTGGAGGGCCAAAATAAAAATGTTTTTACCTACTCAACAATAAACTAAAAGGGCAATACTTAAAAGTAAACAAGTAAATAAGTCAGATTTGTTGCCGGAAAAGGATGAGTAAATTATTCTAGATCCAAAACTTAAAAAGGTTTCTGGAGATTTGCCTTATTGACAATAATTTAGCTAATCTTTTAGGTATCAATTGGAAAACAAATAAAACAAAATCAGGATGTATGTCACTCTCTCTTTGAAAATGCTTGCTGTATTTAGTCAAGCTTATTAAATTAATGAAAAGTAGATTTGGGTACAGCAAAGTTTACTTTTGAGTAAAAGTCTCTGGTTCTTGGTGAGATAAAGAAAATAATGATTATTTAAGATGAATCCTTTGTGTTATAGGGGATATTTCTATTGTAAGAAGATTTTACTTGTTTGTGGTAATTTTGACCTAATTGAAGATAGAAAGTGATACCTGTACTGGGAGTCCAAATTTTTATTTTCCTTGAGGTGAAGTCTGCGGCCACATACAATCAGTCCAGGGGCTGCAAATGGCCCCCGGGCCGCACTTTGGACACCCCTGTAGTTAACTAGATTGTATATGGCAGCTTGTCCACATTGTCTTACATATTTTCTTCTCCGTCTCAGAGAAGACAAGGCAAAATTGCAGCAGCTTTGAGGTTATCTAAATGTAAATAAAATCAGTAGATAAGATCGGTTTCACATGTAAGTATCAACCAATCACCCAAAATTAAAGAATTGATTGGTGCACCCCTAATTTTCTAAGAAGGTTTTACAAACAGATCAGCTCAGATCAACAAGCATTCGCAGATGACTTGACAGAGACTTGAAGTTGGCCAAAATACACAGACAGAATGAAGCAAAGCTTTGCAGCAAAACAACTTGGAAGCACTTATCTAATTTAACAAGAACAGAATGAAAATAAATAAAACATAAAACAGAGCGTAAGATAGACAGCTGAGAAAACTAATGAGTGAGTCAGTCAGTGATGCTGCTTCACATGCATTTGTGAACGTGTGCAGAGGAAATGACAGGACATGCAGAGAGACAAACAAAAACACACTAAAGCAAACAAAGACACAGGGAAGCAAACCGTGTTTGCAAAGAAAGAAAGGAAGGAAAGAAAAAAACAAGAAGGAAAATATTACAAGTGAATTAATACAACACAACCCCCGTACATTTGGACCGTCCTTTCTGATTACAGTATGAATTATGTAAAATCTTATTAGAGGGCAGAGCTGCGACCAGAAAGATCTAATCTGGAATCTGATTTCCTGAAAAGGTCACTGGAAGAATGTAATATGAATCTGAACTTCATCGTCCCTCTGAGGAAGAGGAGGACAGCAGCCTGGGCTGCAGGACGAACGCTGGAGGACAGGTTAACAGGACAGGGACAGAGACGAGGACAAACCTGTTGCTACCCTTCCAGCTTGTTTCAACAACGCTTCATTTCCCTGAAGAAATTATTTAAATACAATTCTCTACTATATATCTGAATGCCTTAATATGGGGTAAAATAACCATGAAAAAATGAGAGGGAGTTTTAAGTCACTCCTTGAAAAATAATAATTTATTACTTAATTTTATTGTCATCAGTAAGGGTCAAACATAATTACAATATTTTATTTCTGAGACTAAAAACTGAAACCAAAATTCAGCTTGACCCTCACCGGTAACAATAAAATTATGTTACAAATTTTACTCTTTAAAGCAGATTTTATTGGCAAGCAGTGACAATATCACAATAGCATGGACAAATGTGTTGGTACTTGCTATTGATCCTTAGATTTTAGTCATTAATGGTTTAATTTAATATCACAGAGGCCTAGGAAGCTTATTTAAAGGAACAAACGTACTAAAGAGTAGTTTGGTCTGGATGATGAAGCAAAGACAAGGAGCTCAGATTACGACAACATACGTATGTTGATTAAATTAAAATGTCAACAAGAAGCTAATTCATTCCAATAATATAATTCAAAATGTGGTCATTATGCACACATGTTGATATCTTTCAAGCATTTATTCTTGTTTATTTTGATGATTTTTGCAGCTTACAGCAAATGGAAATCCAAACCTCAGTTTCAAGAAAATCTGAAGACTGATAAATATTATTTCTTAATAGCGAAACGTGTTATGGTTAAAACAATCATGGTCATGACTGCCGACCTGACAGTCACCATGGTGATGTCATCATGGCAGCCATCTTGTTTGACAAGCATGTTTTACAGCTTTTATTTATTTGGATGTTTTATGAGAACACTATAGAAAAGAATCTATTTAAATGAGGAATGTTAAGTGTCTTGTGATATACTTTTAATACTTTATTTTTTAATACATCAACGTCAAATTATTTAGCAGCAGGACTTTGAAACGACTGACGGAGACTATTTCAAAGAAAGAACCACATTACACCAGATCTTGGTAACTCTATAAAAGCTTTTTTTCTCATTAAAACTCAATTTTTCTCTTAATTTTAACTCATGGTAAAATTGAGTCTTCATTTGCCTAATGTTGTGGCTATTCTCATATAATTAAACCAAACCTACTGTAGCCTCACACTAGAACAAATCACAGAAGGGATTATTGAAATAAAAGCCACTTTTTCAAAAACATTTCTCTTTATCTTATAAAATGCAACAACAAAAAAAAAAAAGATTAAAATTGGAAATGGGATCAGGTATGAAAAAAAACCCAACAGATTTTATTTGTAAGCAATATCACTCAGAACTAATCTTAGGTTCTGTTTTGTTTTTTTGAGTAACTTAATTAGATTTGTAATTAAATGTTAAAATAAACACAAAATAGCCTCCATGAATGTTACTGTCTAAATACAGATAACATACAAGTTTGACCTTTTGAATTGAATTACTGAAATGAATTAACTTTAATTTAATTAATGTTAAAATTAAAGCTAACAACACCATCTCCAAGCAGTTCAATGTTCCTTTAACTTCAGCTCACATAAGATTAAAAGGCCTGGTTTAAAAGCCTGAAGGAAAGTGTGGATAATGAAAAAGCTGAAAGACCCCAAAGTGAAGCAAAGGTCGAGGTTCATAATTTTCTGATCTCTCCATCCATTGGTTTAGTTTTGGGGCTGCATTCCTGCATCAAATCTGTGCACAAGATTACTGAGGCGTCTTAGAGAAAAACATGAGCCACAGGTCAAAGCTGCTCCGACTGGATTACGACCCAAAATATAAAGTTAACAGCACTCGCAAAATGGCAGAGGACAAATAAATAAATAAATAAAACCTCAGTATTCTTAAAAAAACCTCAATGAGCCCAGATATATTTCCTGGTGAATACTAGGGCTGGGCATTTATCAAATCGTTTATCATTTACTGTAAAAAAGTTACTGTCACTATAAGAATTATGATTTATTGTTTCTGCGATAAATTTCAATTAATCTTAAAAAAACGTTCCCCACTATTTTTCTCCATGAGAGAATCAAAAATGTAAATAAATGAAGCTTTATGATATAAATCACGCTTCTTTACAAAAATAAGAATGATTTTCAAGAGCACAATTTGTATGCAGTTTCCTAAAAAAGAGGTAATGTAGTTTTTAATCATAATGTTTTATCATTATTGCGACAGTACTGCAAAATATTGTGATAAAATATTTATCACCCATAATATCTACGGTAAGATCTGAAAACTACAGGCTGGACAGTTTGTTCAGAAGGAAAAGGCAAAACTACCTATTTGCAGATGCAGTGATCACTTGTTGGTGTGTTTGATTTGGGGTACCATCTTTTTTGTCCATGCAATTTTGATTTGTTTTAACACAATACAGAGTTAAATTGAATAAATAGTAAATTTGGAGTAAAAAAACACAAGGTTTTAAGCTGCTTCAGATGTTTTTTTTGGGTTGCTAAGGAAGGGAAGCAACAAATGTTTCTCCGTCTGAGGTGCAGGGGAGAGGATAAGGGAGGAAGGTGGGGTCTGCAGTACCGTGAGTGCTGCTGTAAGTGACTGAGCTGCCTGAAAGATTTCTGGCAGTAGGAGCAGGTGTAAGGCTTGGCCCCGCTGTGGATGCGGATGTGCTGGGCCAGGTAGCTCGAGTTGGCGAACGACTTGGCGCAGTGAGGACACTTGTGAGGTTTGGCCTCTGTGTGCGACTTGGAGTGGATCTGCATGTCAGACTTACTGAAGAAGGTCGCCGCACACATCCGGCACCTACAGGCGGAGAGACACAGAAATGGGAGGCCGGGATGGAGAAAGGAGAACCAGAAGGAGGGAAACAAAACCAGAGGAGGAGGAAATTTTCACGAAAGATGGGATGAGGGGGGGAGGTGGGGTAATCAGGACAGGAGGAGGAAAATGGAGCAATGAGTCAGATAATTAAGTTATGGGAGAAAATAAATTATTAAAAGAAAACTCAATCAGGACAGAAGTGGGTTAACAAATGTTACACACGCCCGGACAACACAGAAAGACATTAAAAGGGGAAATTTAGTAAAAACAGAAAAAGAAAGGTCTACAGATATAAAACAAAGGAACAGAGTGCTATATCCAAACAAACAGAAGAAGCAAGGCTAATGTGCAGCATGTGGAGAAGCAGAGAGGAGCTGCAGAGCAGTGATGTGTTTGTCTTTTCAAATGCATCATCAAGCATCTGCTACAAAGACTCACTTCCTGCCAGAACATGCAGAAAAGAATGTTTAGAAGAGCTACTATGCGTGTTTGTGTCTGTGTCAGCAGCACCTAGTTCGTCTATAAGAGCTGAACATCTATGCAGCCAGAGCGAGGACGCACAGCAGACGCTTTTTAATCAAAACCGTACCTGTATGTCTTTGTGGAGTCTTTATGTCCATGTTCTTCGTCCTCATGGGACATCTCGTATGGATCTCCGGGATGATGATGCTGCAAAGATGACACCTTTCCAAAACAACAAGAAAAAAGGATTTGGACAGGTCTCTTCAGCTACAAAGTCAAATTTTCCTCTCTAGTTATTGTCTTACATGTCCGCCAGGTGTCAGGTGTGTCAGTATTAGCGTGTCATGTCCTGGTCCACCCAGAGTGGCAACTCTGGACAGCGTAGTCACCTTTTTCTTTCTCCCTCGTTTGGAGGGAGACGGCATCACAACCACGTGGGACGTCCCGTCTCCTTCTTTCTTGTCTGCAACAGAAAGGAAGAACATTCTTAAAAAAAAGAACAGCATCTTTTTAAACTTAAACCTGCTGCTTCATGTCCTAAAATTGCGCAGTTTTGGAAATATGTGCACAAAACTGTGAAGAAGATTCTGGGATATAATATCCTTATGAGTAGCACGGTACTGTGTCTTTGTAATTTTAACAATACCAAAGTAAGCGTAAAGGATAGGGACCTGATTAAGATAATGCTAATAGCTAATAAGAAACCTTTTATGAGGAAATGGGGAAAGACCACAGCAAACACAAATGGAAGAAAAGTGGACGAAATGGACAATATTCAAGACAAAGACAGCGACAAAAAATAGAGAAAGAACTGGACAAACTACATGGGACAAAGGTCTAAATAGCTGTCAAGCAGAAGTTTCATGTTATATAATGTTTAATATGAATTGTTCATGTACGTTTTAAATGTACACAAATGTATGGAAAACGCTAAATGATTAAAAAAACCTGGTGCTTCAGTTTACTCATCCACTTTCAAAAAGTTTAATGTTTTTTTTCTGAAGGTAACTAGAAATAAAACAAACTTTCCATCTTTATTCAACAGTCACGCTATCAAGAATTTCCCTTGCATTACTTTGGAGTAAATGGCTTCAAGTAAATATTTCTTATAATAATAACATCTCAAGCTGATTTTTAGGTTTTGTCAACTCACAGGCTCATTTTATACGACAACAGTGCATCACTGTTACAGAATTTACATAAACAAATGTTGCAGAACTGACCCGACAACACAGCTGCTAATCTCATGCTATGCAATGCAGACTCTCTGTCTTCACTGACGAAGACTCCGAATTCTTGAAGTAGCTACGAATTAAGCTAAACCTATTTGATTTATTTGGTTATGACTAAAAAACAAACTGAAAAGTGCAGATGGCAATGTAAATATGCATGGTAAAATAATTTCACAAACAATTTCTACAAAGTTTGTATTTAAGTTTAATAAATGTAACTTAGTAGGAGGGAAAATAATGTGTTGTGAAAATTATTTCTGCCTTTTGTCATTTTTATTAGCAAACAAAGCCAGAAAATAAAATCAGAAATTGTATCTGGTATGAAAAAATCTGAGATTAAATTTTTATGCCTCATCTCCCAGTCCTAGACTGAGTGTACATTGCGTCAGATTTTCATCCTTGATGTTTTTGTATTTTTACCTGAAGAAGGAAGAGCCGAAACTATCATGGTGGTCGCTGGATGACCGGAGACAAATGACTGAGAGGACGTGGGAGAGACCAGCGTTCCCTGAGGTGTTGTGATCACCAGACCAGCTGCACGCAGAGAAACAAAGGCAGAAAGTATTATAGGCTGATATAAACGTATCATCGAATACATATTTAATATCTTCTGCTGAGCCTGGAACTGCTAAAACAGCATTATAAAAAAAAGGAGCCTGCAAAAGCTAAAGAGCTGCTGAATCATTTCTGAGAAGCGCCCTGTGGCTGTGGAATAAAAAGAGACACGCAGATGTTCATTTTACCCTCAAGCTGACCTGTTGGCAACATTTGTTCTCATCAAACTAAATCATTTAATGCGCTGCTGCTACGAGCCGCTACGTTCAGAAACCATCTTCTGCGTCGTCAGATATTACGGCCACGGCTCCAGCTGTTGAAACAGAAAGAGTCGGCCCTGAAGGCTGCTCTGGGCAGAAACAGGCGTACCTGCTGTCATGATGCCTGTCGAGGGGACGGGCAGCACTGTGATGTTCTGGGCGCTGTGAGGCGGGTGGAGGTGCGCCGCACCGCCAGCCTGCCCGCCGCCATCTGTCTTGGCTCCAGGAGTTGGGATGGTAAGAAGAGTAGTCTGGTAGTGTGAGGCCGATGACGGAGAGAAGGAGGCGTTCTTCTCCTGGTGCTCCTTCACCTTGTTCAGAAACATGCTATTCTCAAGCTGGCAGAGGTCAGGGGAGGAGAGTGATGTCATCAGGCAAAGCTGAAGTATGTGACTTTATAAAAATTATGTTTTTTTATAAAACTGTCACCATGTGATGACAGGATGTAATGAGACAGAAAATCTGTGAAAAGATCAGTCTCCTTCACCTACTTCATGAACTACCACGAAGAAATACACCACTCCCAGTCAAAAACAACCAATCAGAGGCGGGAGGCGGGTCTTAGCGCTGTCAATCAACCTCATTTACACACTGCTAAATGGGCTAATGAATTAAATGAATGAGGCGCCACCCTGTTACCACGTTTAGGTGGTTTTACACAAAAACAAAGAATAAAACTGTTCAAATTAATTAACGACACAAATATTAACAGATATGAATCCAGATCTGATTATATCAAAATAGGAAATTATAATTGTAAAAATAGTACATTACTTAATGAGAATAGCAAGAAATAAAAAAGATAAAACTGTTTAACTGCATTTTGCAGGACTGCTTCTGGAAAAAAATAATATAAAAAAAAATCTAATAAATGTGCTGGTGTACAATAATCAAACATGAGGAAAGACAGAGAAATACATTTGTATTTCCCATGAAAACATGGTACATAGTCTTGTATAGTCCGATAACACATTTATTTAGTCTCATAAAAGACGTGATTATTGTCAAAATAAGGCATTTTTTTTGTCCATGAGTCCACCAAGGTTACACTTTACACTTCAATGATGTACATTTTAAGAACAATGCACTGACCTGACAAAATCAACCAATCAGAGCCAGGAGGCGGGTCTTAGGGCTGTCAGTCAACTTTGTGTATATGCTGCTAAATGTGCTAATGGTGGAGAAGCAATTTAGCATCAACCTTATCATTCCCTACTGTCTCTGCTAGCTGCAGCGTAGCAGAGAACAAGATGGGGAGCAAAGGGAAGAACAAGCAGCGCCACATGGAGGGTAATTGACAGCGCTAAGACCCTCCTTCTGGCTCTGATTGGTTGATTCTAGCTAGCACTGGGAGAAGGCAGAAAAGCTAAATTTTTTCACAGATTATCCGTCTCATATCATTCGATCAGTTTCAACAAATATGTAAAAAAAAAAATAAAATAAATATATATATATATATATATATATATTTCTTATTGAAGTTACATACTGCAGCTTTTAATATTTTATTTTATGTCAATCCTAAATGAATACCTGCGTGGGCACAGTGGGGAGGTGAGACCAGAAATATGAGGAATTAAAATGAGAGTCTTCCATCATCTCTGCGGGGGAAAAAACACAAGAAGAAGAAGCATAAGGTTCATAGATCTGCCAAATAAGATAAAGAGACAAAGAAACTCAGCTTGAAATTATCTAAATATTCCCCTTCTGTCCACATTAAGCAGGCTTACACTGGAGGAAGAGCTGATGATGATGATTAAGATATGCTATGAATGAAAGGATTAAATGGGTTTCAATCAGTTCTTTCAGCACCAAGACTGATTCAGATCACGTCACTCATTTATACAGTCATATTCAGTCTTTCCTGCTGGCTGTGAAAAGTGTGACCCAATAGGATGAATGTATCATTTGCACAGCAGCATATATAGAAGCTTTTGTGCAATTTGGTTGCTGGTAATAATGCACAGAGTCATAAAAAGGGAAGTAGCCCCTTGCACTTCCTTGTCTTACTTGAATTTGAAACGTTTTGTTGCAAATTTTCAAAGACATAGAATCCTACAAAAGATAAAAAAAAAACAAAAACAAAAGTAAGAACAAACTATATAACAGGGCAAACGTACAGCATAAGAAGACATTGTACAGTTATTAAAAATACTCCAATTGAAAGATATGTGCAAATGAGTATGATAATTTGTAAAAACAATGTAAAAAAAAAAGTGGATGTATATTTTTGCATAAAAAAGACATATCGGGAAAAAAACTTTTTAGAAATGGGCCTCCGTGTTATGTCATATTTATACCAACAAAAATGAGCAAATAGAAAGCTCTAGAAATTCATATGAACATAAAGAACCAAAATAAAAAGTAATGATTTAGTTTAATCTATATGAGTGCTTTTATAGCAAATGATTTGTTATAAAACAGCTATTTATCAATGTGGGATTTTTTTCTAATTTAACTTTGTAATTAAAGTTTTTCTCTAAGTTATACACTGTGATGTCATACAATTTTATTTATGCTGTAATTTTTCTCTTTATGAATGAAAATCTCATCTGAAATCTGCTTTTCATGTTTACTCTGGTTGTTTTTGACTTATATTAAAATTAACTTGGAGATCTTGTCACACGCTGAAGTGTGACAAGAAAGCAAATGAAGAAAAAAATCTTTAACGGTTCAAATAGTTTCTTAAATAAATGTACATATTATTTTTGATGGAATATGTATAGGTGGCTGACATAATTATAATTATGGCATTAAATGAGACATTATTAAAAAAAACAACTTGAGGTAATTCAACACTTTTAACACTAGTAGAAGTTGCCACTTAATGACAGGAAATTCAAGATGGCAGAGATAAACATTAACTCCAAACCAAGAGGGCAAAAAAACAACTAACTTAATTGAACATATTTTTCCCAGAAGTAATTTTTCTGCACAATAATTCAGAATATTTTCAGAAAGAAAATCCTGCCAAGCGAGTTAATAGAAAAGTACAAAAATGGGGATTTTGGGGCCCCAGAGAGCTTGGGGTCATTGTTTATTTTGTTGAGTCTAAGGCCAGAACATCTACAATGGCTCTCAAAAATTACAATTATAAAAAAAAAAACCTAACTCAGCTTTTCAAAAGTAGATATAAAAAATGCATGTGTACAATGTTTTTTTCATGGAATAACCACAGAAAGGCACTAAAAGTTATGATGGAGTATTAATGCCAGGCTAAGGTAATTATCTGTTTCAAATTAAGAGAATAAAGTTAAAATATTATGAGAATATAGTAAAAATATTAGTAGAGAAAAGGTGCAAAATTACCAGGAACAAATGTTTTTCTTCAAAATCAAGTCGTTTGCAGAATCGCTTCAAATTCCTACTACTGATAATAATGTGATGTTGAAAAAAGATTAAAAACTTCCTTATTTGTAAAACCAATAGAAAAGAATACCTTTACAAGATGCTCAACATTCCTCATTTTAACACAGTGGTAATACTGGTTTTTCATTTAGGAGTTCTTATAAAATAATTATTTCATTCTCTTATTAATGAAACTTTATTCATATATTCAGGCAATATTATGACTTTATTCTAAATATTAAATTATTGTTACAACTTTATTCTTTTACTATTTCAAACTGGCCCTGACATTCTGTCACAAAAAAGTATCAATAATATTTTTACTTCTATTTATGTGTTATCTTTTACATCATTTTTCACAAATATCAACATCCCCTGGGGGGAAAAGTGCATCCATCCTTTTATTAAACCTTAAAATAGAAATAAAACCGTTGTTCTTTAAAAATAACACATTTCTCATAATAAATATTTAGTGAACATTACCAGTTGTCCTTTTTTTTCCAAAATGTTTGGCAACATTCGAAGATCTAAAGTGGATATTTGCATTGTTAGGGTTGCAGAAATCTCTTAGGAGAAAACTAATGACAAAGAGAAAACGTAAAAAATAAATTATTAAAGTTACACAGTGACCAGACTAAATTAACGTAACCTGAAACAAACCACTTCTTGGTAGTCTCTGATATATGACACAGGTATGTTATTTATGCTTTTATCAATTGCTAAATCGTCATTATTTTTAGTCTTTTGGGGGTTTCGAAATAAATGGCTCTGAATAAAATGCTAAACCAGTAGTAACGATGCTTTAATTCCAGCTGTAGACAGTTAGCTCTAAGCTAGAAGTGTATGAAGTGAGCTACTATCACTAGCTTGTATAAAGTGCTACATTTTGGGTCCAAATAGTGCTGAAGCTCGGAAGCTTGACTCCATTCGGGCCCAGTAGGTGTTGTGGTTACTCCGGCCCACCGCGCTGATTAACTGCAGCTAGCATACAATGTGTCTGTGTTGCCCTCCTGCCTGATAGAAAAAAAAAAATAACAAGCAGGGAAAAAAAAAAAAAAAAAACCTAAAGGGTAAAAAAAGCGAGAAAAAAAACTCGGCCATCCTCACAGACTTCCGGCTGTGGCGGAGAGGCGGCAGCACACATTCAGGGAAAATTACTAACGACGGCAGAGAGAACAGCGACGTTTACCGGTTCAGACGACTCCGACCTCCTGTCCGAAACTCCAAGCAACCCGAACAATCTGGTCCCGAGGTCCAACTTTGTCAAAATTCCTGTAAATCAGTGAAGTTTCCTCCCCCTCCCTGTCTTACTATTTTTTTCTCTTTTTTTCTCCGCTTAGCTAGCTGCTTCGTCTGAGCTTCACTTCCTCTCGAAAAGGTCGTCAGACAAAAGGAGTGTGTCTGTGTTGATGTCATGTCCGGTATCTGATGGATACTTGATTTAAAAATGCAACATGTTCTTCTTCAGCCGTCTCAGCGGGAGTTTTAGGGCGACAAAGGTCCGTTTTGAAGCAAATCAGCTATTGATTACTTTTATTTTGTTGCATTCAAAGATCAGATTCTGATCTTAAACTGAACGTGATGCCTTCACGTTACCTTGGACGAATCAGAGGTCACTAAAATCGATTAATCCTCCCTACTGTGGTGATTTGGATGAAGTGAATACACTACAAACAGAGCAGGGGCAAAAAAGGTAGTTATAAAAGATTACTCTATATTAGAATAAATTCAAAAAATGTCATTTTAAAAATAAATTAAAATGATTAATGCTGTGTAATTACTACCATTACAGGCTATACAGTCTGATTTCTGAACTGTATACAAGACATTACAACAGCTTATTAGGGCCATTTTAAATAGAAAAAAGGAGTAAATTTCCAACAAAACTCTCAGAAATAAAAAAAAAACAAAAAAACAAGTCCATTTCTTGGCTTGAAAAGTTGAAAATTTGCTACAAAAAAAGCATAAATTTTGAGATTAATCTAATAAATTCATAGAAAAAATTATTTCTGAGTTTCACAAGTCGAAGATTTTCAACTTTTCAAACTTAGAAATTTCTAAGTTTTTCCTAGAAATTTCAATTCAAAATTCTTGAGATTTTCCTCACAAATTTTTGATTTTTGCAGCTCAGAAATGTCATTGTATTTTTGTGTAGGATATTTCTGAAAATAATCTGAGCATTTCTGAGTCTTTCAGGCAAATTTTTTAACATTCGGAGCTCAGAAATGTCTGAGTGTTTTCTAGAAAATTCCTGAGATTAATCTAAAAATTTCAGAGTTTTTTGGCAGAAATGTATTCCTTTTTTTCTATCTACAATGGCCCTAATATGCAGCTGCACTTTAACAATAACTTGTCAGACACTGTTATATTTAACAATAAAATTCAAAGTTATTTTCAGATCTCACCGCAGTTGGACATTTATTTGTGTATTTATTCATCAAGTGTATTTTGACCATTTCTGTGTTATTGCTCTTGTACCTTCCAGTTGTCTCTTTGCTAAGTTTCAATTAAGAGAATAAGTTCAAAGCACTGAATGAAGAACAAACATAAGATTATGTAATAATAACCAGACACATCTACAGTTTATGTTTAAGTCAAGTTTCTTGTTTGTACAGAAGCTTTGATGTTTTATAGTTATTTTCTGTCTGCTGCACCTTTTATGCCTTTTTGTAAAGAAGGAACATAAATCACTGTACACTGCCACTAGAACTACTTTATTCTTCATGAGTTATACACACTATCTACTTACTGTAAGTATTGGTCTAATGAACTTTATGTTTAATTTGGGAAAATGTTTCTTCTGTTATTTATTTGTACTATTGTTTATTTGTAAATAGAAACATTTTCATATAAACAAATATTTTTGTCTTATTACACCATTTTACAAAATTAAATCAGATGGTATGATCAGTTACTCAATATTTAAGAAGCCTTTTTTTTTTTTTACCAAAAACTTTTTTACTCTTAAATAATTTTTCAGATTTTACTTTTACCTTAATAAAAAGTTGAAGTATTGCTACTCTTACCTGAGTACAATTTTTTAGAAACTCTATCCACTTCATCTTAAGTGTATTCTGAGTGACAAGTATCCACATAGACCTTAACAAGGAACAAATTAAGAAGATTAGATCTAAATATTTATAGTTTCCAACTTCCAAAATAAAAGAATGCAATTTAAAATTACAAACAAATTTTATCCAAGACTTTCTGAGGTTCAAATGGATATAAGTGTGCATTCTGTGAGGAAGTAACAGGATTTTGATCATCTGTTTTTTTATGTGTGACATTGTGCAATCCTTTTTTGCAGGATCCTTATAAGCTTATCTGGGTTCATGGGGCACAATTAACAAATATAAACATCCAAGAGGTTACATTTGGTGGGGTTTTTTAAATTAATGACCATAAGAGTGATCACAGTGTAAATAATGTTCTCTTATTAGGCAAATATTACATAACCTTACTTCAGTGTTTAAATTTACCTCATCCTTCAGTAGAAGGATGAGGTAAATTTGTGAAGTCAAAACTGCTTTTAAGTTCAATAAATCCATCAAACACATTTATTCATAGCACACTTCAGCAACAAGGCAGTTCAAAGTGCTTTTCATCATAAAAACCATAAAATTTGACCATCTTCAAAAAGGTTGACCTTTTTTGTAGAAAAAAAAGTACAATATGTCCTGCTATGTTTAAGATTCATTTTGTTTTGTTTTTTTAATGTTTGTTTGTTATTTATAACTTTGTAAGTATGTAGTGTAAACACATAATGTATACTTTGTGGTACCTTTTTGATCCATCCATCCATCCATCCATCCATTTTCTTCCGCTTCATCCGGGGTCGGGTCGCGGGGGCAGCAGCTTCAGAATGGAGGCCCAGACTTCCCCTCCCCAGCCACTTCTTCCAGCTCCTCCGATGTTGATTGAATACGCTAATATTAATAAATAAAAACTAAAGAGGGAAAAAAAATGACAAAAGAGGTTCTTGTTTCGTTGGAGTTTAGTCATACCTCTGCTGGCCACTGGGCGTCGCTGCAGGGATAGTTATACGTTTTTCAGCGGAACGTCAACATCCGGCGACACGTCTCCCGAATAGAACAGAGCGGTAATCCTGCAGACACATACAGACTGGCTTTATGCATTGTTTTCTGTACAGATATTGCCCATGTGAGACTTTCTGAACACTTAGTTTCATTTTTCGTAGTCTTAGCCAACCCGCGGGGCCTTAGACACCGCTAGAGCTTCAGATGGGGGAGGTGAGGAAGCTGCAGAAGAAGTTAAGGCAGATTGAAAATCTGGAAATAAAAATCAGTCTGAGCCCAGAGGAGAAATACAAGGTACAGAAACACTTCATCTGGCTTTTCGTGTTCATGTGACTCTCCCTGTATGACCTTCCCTAAGATGAAACGGGCTGTGGTGGGTTTAGGATTGAGAAAACACCAGTTAGGGGACTACTGGTGTCACTTTTTCTTTATTCATTTGAGTTTTATTTATAAAGTTTGCCTCATTGAGAGCCAAGATCTCGTTTACAAGAGAGACTTTATAAAGATCATGTCTCAAATTGGTTTTCTGGGCTGTAGAAATGGTTATGAATGCGTGTTATTCTTGAAATAACAGCGTTGGCTTCATAAAGGCAGTGATTAACATGAATTAATAATAGTGCTATGAATAATTTGACAGTTTTTGCCCAGGGATCTGAGCAGATCTGATAATCAGACGTTAAACAGGGCGTATCAGGGGGAAATAATTACTGCAGACTTCAGGAAAGTCTCTTCTTATAAAGGGTCACAATCTAAATGCAGTGGAAAAAATGATGTGCCCTACACCACGGATTTGTCTTTGCTGAGCTGCTCCTGCAGTTCCTCATTGGGAGGATACATACACACAGGGTGAAGGTTACATATATGAGACCCTGAACTGACACACAGCTAACCAAACATAAGCATAATACCTTCATAATGTGTCCTTCTGGTTCACTTGGTCTTTACAATGGATTGTTAGTGGAAAACATTGACCTGGGTGACATTTATTACAAATTTCAGTCACTACAGTGTACAGTGTCATGCTAAAGTGTTTATTTATTAGGAGTTTATTTTAGGCTGCATAATGGTGCAGTTGGTATGACCATAGCCTTGCAGCACGATGGTCCTTGGTTCAAATCCCAGTCTATATGGAGTTTGCGTGTGGAAGCGTGCATTCTCTCTGGGTACTCTGGCTTCCTCCCACAGCGCGAAAATCAAGACTGTCAAGTTAATTGGTCTCTAAATCATCTTTAGGTGTGAGTGAGTGTCTGCATGCTCGTTTGTGATGTGTCTCTATGTTGCCCGGTTCTGGACTTGTGACCTGTCACCTTTCGCCCAGTGACTACTGGAGACAGGTACTAGTGACCCTGCTAGGACAAGTGGGTATAAAACATTAAAACATTACAAAAAAGCAAAAACAAGAAATCTGTAAGAGGGCAAATACCTTTTTGCAGTACTTTATTTATATAAAAAACACTGTTTTGATGGTTTCTCTGACTTTAATGTTTGATTTGTTCAAAGAAATTTCAGCGCATTTGTATCGTTTATGTACTATCATAAAGAGAACAAATGATCACAAATACACGCCATACTTAAATTTTTTTATTCTGAACATATTTTGAAAAGTGTCCACGTAAAAACATGCAAGGATTGTTAATACTTTAGCAAGGCACTGTATGAGAAATAAAATTAATTAAAAAAATTATGAAAAGATGGACAGGCAGACAGAGTACTGAATTTGGATTTAAAAATAAAGCATAATTACATCAGAAGAGCATTTTTGGGTTCTGTATTATTTTCATCCTTCTAGATTTCCTCAAATTTCTTTCCTTGGAAGTCTCAAAGAGGAAGCGACTTCTAAAGCGACGTGTTATTTTAGTACCTTACCAACCCTTTGTTGTAAGAGCACCTGTCTTCTTAATGATCCCTTTTCTTCTTGCAACACTCAATATTACAAAAATAATTATTTCATTATATTTGGAAATGGTTGCTCAATGTAAGAGACTTCAACAAAGATCTGCTAAGTTAAAAGTAACATTTGATCCAATTAATATCGCTTATTCTGCACACCTGAAGGTCTGTGCTTTTGGAAAGAACGAACCGAGTGGCTTCCCTTTGCAATGGCGTTTCTGAACAGGTGAGATAAAGAATCTCATAAAGTTGTTTTTTTTGTTGTTGTCATTCCTTCCCATGTGAACCTGTTGGTGTCCTTTAGAAAACCCAGTTTAATCAACAATGTGACAATTAGATTCATTTTCATTTGTGCTAATCATATACTGCTTTAAATTTTTAATTAAAAAATTATGGAGATTATCTTAAAACCTACATTTTCTCTAACAATTTTCAATTTTTTTATATTATATTTTAATGTTTATTTTATGGACTTCTGCTCCTATTGCCAGAAGCTTTGACTTATTTGCATTTTGTTCATAAGTCAAAATTTTATTTTCACAAAGCTTCTGAATTTCCATTTTTATTGATGTGGTAAACAAGGTGATAATTCTGCCTTATGTGTAGTAATGATGTGCAGCCTACTGACCACTCAGAGCAAAAGAAATAAAGATCTGAAATGCTGCTCAGTCAATTTTACAACTTTAATAATACCACCAGTTTTGTTAGATTGCATTGCATTTTTAATTAAGAGAAGGTGTCAGACTGAAAAAGCTACAATCAACATAATATACATGTCAGCATGTGAGAAAAGTACAAAAAATTAATTAAATGGCTCAGCAGTGGAAAAATAGTGGTTATTAATAGTAATTGGCAGCTTCCTACATTTCTTTTTACCATAAAGAATGTCATGAAGTATTTGCATACATATGCTGTGAATATTAGAATACCTCCCTCAGGGATAATGATTTCAAAAATGTCAAATTCATCATTCATATATTAAATCTGATATTGATTAAACGATTGTGAAATATGTACCCAAAACTGCTCATGTGTTTGGGGGGTGTTTCTGCTGAAATTCAAGTCTTACCAGGTCTAAAATTAGTGTGCTGCTGCTACTTTGGAAAACAGTTTTGAGATTTTCTTGTTCAGCTACAAAGCAGTCGACATTACTGAGTTATTTCTTTTCTGAACTGCAGTAAAAAATTTAACAAAGCAGTTTTTGGAGGTAACAGTGAAGTGAGAAGAAATTGCAAAAGTTTTTTTTTGTTCTCTTCTCTGGTGGTTGAGTGAATGTAGCAGGAGAATTGGGAGAGTATAAAGATGCAGAGACTAGATAAATTCACTCTGAAATTGACTGTGACAGACCTCCCCCCTGAAAATCTGAAGCTCTCACTGAACGAGACATTTTCAAACCTTTGGGGTCCAAGAATGACTTCTATCAGAGGTGTGTTTGAGTTTTTAACGTCCGCTGAGCTTCACCCTACAGCACTGCTACCAACTAGAGTTGCACTCACCTGGCTTTTCCAGGCTGATTCCTACTTCTGGTTTCCAGATCTGAGCTGCAAGTGGTGTTTTTTCTTCTGTTTCACGATAGCACATAAAAAAGAAGAATGTGCTGAGGCTTCTTTGAAGGCATAATTTTTAAAAAAGCATCAAAAGCATGTGTTTTTAAAAAATAAATACTGTGAAAAGTATTTGTCATTTTATTAGTTTCTTTTGTTTTTTCTGCTTTTTATTTCTATAGATACATAGAGACACACCAAGGGTCAGTTTCAAAAGACTAATTACTTGCAGGCGCTATTATGCATTGAGTCACGGTAACAAAAATAGTTGCAGTGCCCATATTTCTTATATGATTTCTATAAAATATGGCTCAATTTAAAGCTGAGAAAATTGCCAGTGTTTTTGATGCACAAAATATGTATTCTCCCTGGAAATAAATCTATAAACAGCTTGGTTTCTGTCAGGTCTGTCAAGATGCAAGAGAGGACTACACAAATTTCTCTTTTGTATTGATCAATAATTTAATTTTACATAATTGCTTCAGGCTCATTGGTTGGTTTGTTAAAGTTTAAAAAATATGACTCATACACTTTATAAAATATTTCATCACATTTGATGATTATTATAAATATCCCCATGTTCTACCAACTAATGAGGTAATTAGTCCAGTTTTTGTCGTTTATTGAACTTTTAGATCTTACAGCGGAGCAGTGCGCCACAAAAAAGGGAAAATAATGCCAAAAACCAGGTGTAAAACAGCTTAAAACCACTTGTATTCTGGTGACCCATTGCCATGGCGACCAGCTGACAACAGCACCACTAGCTCACAGAGCAAAAGTTATGTTCAAGTGTATTCAGGAACATCAACACAAAAAAATACAAACATTTCTTCCACAAAAAAAGTCCATAAGAGTTTTATGTTTTCAGACTTGATGTTTATTTTATTATCATTAAAAAGATTATTGAACCCAGTCTGAACACTGCTATGGTTGACTTAGCTATTAGCTAATTTAAACATGATAGTATGGATTGTGGGTATTTTAGTGTTAACTGAAGCGAAACACACGAAGATGGGCAGCACATGTTAAGTTTGTCAAAGTTCAAGCTAGCATAACTGACCAACTTCCCACTTTCTCGGTATTTTTATTTATTTATTTTTAATGAAAACCTTTTACTGACCTGTGAAACGACAGCTTGACATCTAGCTGTCGTAGTTAGACAAATAAAAGCAAAGGGATGTATCTTTTTCAGATTATTTGTATAATTATGTCATTTTCCCGACCACCGATATTCCTGACTCGATGCAGAGCAATAGCTTCTGTGTGGCTCACGACAAATCACGTAATTTTCAACCGCTTGTCGGTTCCGATAACGTGAGACGTATTTGCGTGATAACGTAATGTCTAAAAAATATTTAAGATGGCGTCGCGGCAGAAACGCTCCAAAGTATGGTTACATTTCACGAAAAAAAAAAAAAAAAAGAAACGATTCTAGGTCCGGTTGCAACAGAGCTTTAATCACAATTAAGGGTTGAAATGCCTCCAACGTCCTCCAGCAGTTGTTTGGCCACACAGCAAACAACCGTCTGATTTGTACGAACGTACGGTATTTGATACGTTGCTTAGCAACGTCGGTGACTTGAAGTGGGGAACTTCGAGCAAAGCGTTTCCTGCCATAATTGTCCCAGGTAAAGTTAAACTCCTCCAGGTCGTAGTGTGTTAGCGTTATAATGTATGTATAATCTCTATCTCATATTAATATTTACAGGCATATTCAATAAATTAAAATATGGGTCCCGATGAGACTCGTTTGTCAGATTAAAAGCATCTTTTGAAAACAACCTAGCATGTATTGTTGCAGACCCACATTTCTGCATTTAAAAAAACAAAACATTTTTTTTGGCAGGGAGGAGTAAAATGACAGAGGTTAAAACTGAGAGGGTGTTTTCCACAGCTGGAGACACCTCAAATATTTAAAGGTCCTCCCCCAAAAGACAAACATGTCAATTTGTCTTCCCAAAACCTGTTGTGCAAGAAGTTACATTTAATGTTAAAATATTAATTTGACAGAGGAATTCTTATTTTTTTAAGCCAGCTTTAATTTTGTTTGAATCAAATGCATTATGATGCATTTTATTAATTAAAGAATTTGTTTCCTAACTCAATGAGACAAATAAAATCGATAAGTAAGATCGATAATGGAATCTGTATTGCTTAATTCTTATTTCCCATCCCATGACATGGAGAACATAGGCCTAGATTTGAACCAAGGACCATCTTGCTACAAGGCAACAGTATTACCATCTTCACCACTGTGCAGCCCGTGTTTTAAATCATTAAACACATTTTAACATGACAAAGATAACCTGAAGAAATACAAAAAGTAACTTACAAATGATGATTTAAATTAGTGGGAGAAAGCTGTCAAACCCAACCTGGTGCTGAGTGGATAACTTTTGTTCTCTAATTACCAAAATCACTTTTTGAAAAACACTCCAAATTGTATTTATGTGCCTGATTATGTCTCTGTTAAATCATTTGATTGTAAGAACTTTTTGAGTGAGATAAAACAAAGCAAAAACTGTAAGAAACAAGTACTTTCTCACAGTAATGTCTGTGGTGGTTGATGTATTTGTACTCCAGAAAATGGTGGAATGTCTTAGTTTTGATGCATTTATTGAATAGAAACAAAATCAAAAATGTTCAATACTTTGCAAATTATAGCTTATCAAGCTAATATTAATAATTTCTTATCAACATATAATCAATTCGTTCTATCAACCATAAAAAAATGTAAAAGCATCCCTTTTCCAGTCTAGCTCGATCCTGGAGGTTTGATACTTTGTGGGCTGCACTGCCATGTATTTTTAAAGCCAATTAAAATGTGGTGTTTGCAGCCTCACACAGACCAAAAACTAAAGAAAGAAAAGCCACGCTGCCATCAGCAGCATCAAACCACCAGAGATTTCCAGTTGTTTTCAGATGCAGAGTAGCTCTTGACGGTGTGATGAGCTGTGTAAGGTTGGTGGAGTGTGCTGCCTTTAACAGGGAAAACAGACACTTGATGTACACTTGACATCTAACTTATTCAGACATGCATATTTCAAAGCCCCCAGTCAGACAGCGTATGTTCCAAGCTGCAGTCTAATAGACGGAGACAGACCGAGTGATCTGGTTGTGCATATAAACAGGATATAAACAACTTGTGGATTTAGCAGCTTGCTCTTACCACCAATCTCTTGACTTTCTCCTGTCAGATCTCCAGGAAGGCGGAGCTGCGTTCCAGATTGGCTGAGCTTCAGCTGCAGCTTTCTGGCCCGCAGCAAACTCTTGGGATTGTGGGAGACGGAAATAAGGAGAAGATGAAAAGACAAGTGTAAGGAAGTGAGGGAGAGGTGCCCGTTGGTGTGTGTGTGTGTGTGTGTGTGTGTGTGTGTAATGGTGGGGTACATATGGAGAGAAGCGTAATTTTTCAAAAGCAACAACATTCACTTTGAAGCCTTTGATCTTTTTTGCATGTCTATCGAAACACACGGGAGGTCAAATCCTCTGGTACTTTCAGATAAAGAGAACTTCCTCTTGTTCATCGTGTGTCATGTAAACATTAATCACCGATGTCATCCTCCATATTGGAGCTCTTAATCGTCTTAATCATCAAGTTCAGATGTGATGTGTGTGACGCGCCCCATTGTGTAAAACAGAATCCACAACCCAGTCTCCTTGTTGACGATGCCTCTCGGTTTTTTCACATTTTATTTGGTTGCAGCCACCAGTTTCAACATATTTTATTGGAAGTTTTATGGGAGGAGTCTGCACCATTTAAAACCGAAGGAGCCGTTTTGCCTTTAGCTTAGTTAAATAAGACGTAAGAGTCGTAAATATTACATGATTCTTTAAGAAAAGATTGCTTATAATTTTTTATTTCTACCAAAGAAAAGCTGTCCTCATGTTTAAAAAACAAAGAAAAATGTCTCGTTAAAGTTCACAAATGCTAATTTTCCAGAGAAAACAAATGGATGCCAAACGTTTAACTAGTACTGGATGAGATGGCTGAAAATAGTATCACATAAGCGTTTTATATCAGTCGATATTGATTCGTTTTTTTATTTTAAATATTTGAAATACTGGCAAAGTGGTGGTGTAACCTTTCCTGTTTTCACTCTACGCCATAGTTTTTTATTTTTATTTTTAAGCAGTTATGAGGCACGGCGGCCAAACTTTAAACTGCTGCTGCGTCGGTTACTCAACAGGTTGTTGCTAGGTAACCACAAGTTATTCAGCAAGCTGTTGCTAAGTAACCAAAGAGCAAGTGAGTTAGTTGGTGACTCTCACTTTGCTTAGCTGGCCGTGAGAAGTTGAGCGGTTCAAGCCTTTCCTTTGCCTACGTTACCCAGAATGCTGTTCAGTTCTGGAGTTCAGTGAATTTATTGGATATTCTATCAGATATATTATCTATTGATTTTGATTGCGTGTTTATCTCAATATATATTGTTATTGATTTATTGTCCAGCCCTACTTTCAGGTTATTTCCACAAAATGCTGAAATCCTGCATCATTTTCCTTTAACGATTGTGGACTACAGTTTGTTTCTCACATAAAAAAATGAAAAAAAAACAAAACAAAACAAAAAAAAAACAGTCTGTGGTTGTAATCTGACAACATGTGAAAATGGCCAAGGGATACGAGGATGTAAAGGTTGCTATGTGCATTTTGCATCTCGATTATTTATTCAGCTCCTGTTTTCTGCCCTGGCACAGGGAAGATGCCCCCGAGACCCTTTCATCACAAACGCCTCCAGCCTCCAAGATCCTTAAGGGAGAAGCTGAGTCCAAAGCTGCAGGGACGCCAGCGCCGGCTGCCAGGCAGAGGGCGGCAGGAGGAAACGAAGGAGAGACGGCAGGACTGCAGGATGCGACTGAACTGGCCAAGGTGTCACTTCAGAGCAGAGAGGAGTCAGGATGCTCTCCAGAAGAACTGCTGCGGCAGGAAGGTGGGCTAATTAGCAAAAAAGAGATGGAGAAGACTGGCATTACACTTTATCTCAGGGAGCTAAAAGAGCAAAGCAGTGCCCTAATTTTCGATTACCATCTAAAACCAGATTACACACGTATGCCCCCGAGGAGTCCTAACAAGCTCGTGTGGCAGCCAGGATTAAAACCAACAGGCTGAGTTGTGCTTCCCTGAAGACAAGGCCCACGTTTTGCATCCATGGAGCTAATTTAGCCCCACGCTTTGCAGCAGCAGCGTCGCCGCACTAATCCATACCAAGGAGTCGTGTACTGTAGATTAACAAGGCAGGGTGCTGATGAGTCAACACTGCTAATTGCACAAATCATTTCCTCGTTTCTTTTTTTTTGTTGTTTTTTGCAGAAGCAGAGTTTTCATCCCTCAAAGCGTCCTGGGAGAAAGCGCGGTTTCGCTTGAGGCTCCTGGAGGGTCACAATGACATAGTCACCAGTGTGGTTGCTGTTGACAACCTGGTGGTTTCTGGAAGGTAAAGCGGAGCGGCATTTGCATAATGGATGGGCGAAGTGAGCCTTCCTCCTAATTTATCTCCTAATAGGCGCTCGCCGTCATTCCACCACATTTATTTTTCCGTCCTGATCTCTTGTAATTTACTTTCAAACTCCTGACCTCCACCCAAGTCGAGACACGACGGTGAAGGTGTGGCACGTTCCCACGGCAACAGAGCAGAAGAACCTCGGGGGCCACACCGGCGGAGTCACTTGCCTGTCTGCGCCTCCCCCCGAGTATTGCAGGAGGCTGGGTGAGTACGCGCAGATGCACATGTGGGCTGGCTGCGGCTGAGTAATGCCCGTGTCCTGCGGCCTGGTAATTATAGGAGCAGTTCATCAGATCAACTCCGCTGAGAAATAACCTCAATAGACACTTTGGAGAGTTCACTGTCTGTCTGAAGCAGGCAGCCTTCCATCATTCGACTCGCTGGCTTTCCTCCCTTCTCCAGCTTAAAGCACCCAGCGTAGAAGTGCAGCGCAGTCCTACAGCACTTCCCCTGCTAATGAGATTATTTTTCTTCTTTTGCACAAACACGTCCTCTCCATCTATTTCTTGTGATTTCTCTCCTTTATCCTTTTATGCATCATCACTTCCTCTCGTCTGCGGCATGGTGCAAAAGTTTTGAGTCATCCCTCTTTTCTATATGCTTTGCTCCCAAGGCAATAAAACCCTTTTGTAATGCTTGAATGTGGCTTTGTGCGATATTGCTTCAGGGTTCTGGAGTAATTTTGTTTCCAGAGTTGAATGTGTTTAGGTGGGAAATGTGAATTTTTGCCCCAGAAGAAAAGCAAAAGGCGTTACGAAGATTGTGGCTGAAGCTGGTGAGAGGGTGTCACTGTCCACAGCGAAACGATGAACAGGAAGGCCGATCAGAGCGGGTGGTGGATTCACACAGGGGCAAAAATCTGAATTTTCTGACATGTACTTAACCCCGTCGCAATAAACTGTTAATCAGTTAATCACATGATAAATTAAAATGAGTTCAATAATGACATTATAATAAGTTTTAGTTATGGTTTCGGTTGTGTGTGTGTTTTTATTTCTACTTTATTGTTGTTTTTTATTGTGTTTTATTTTGGATATATAAAATATCTTCCTGTTCCAGTCTTAAGAGTTCTTTACAAAATTAAAGCTATTGGTTGTTGGGAGGACGAACTTGCACTAATATGCCATTATGAGTGTATCAATTAAAAATTGTTTTATCACAATAATCACTGGGACAGTTTATCACATTTGTTATTGTGACAGACCTGTACGTACTGTGATCTAAAGCTGAAGAGTTTGGTCATAGTAAGCTCATTTGAATTTGGAGGGAGGAGGAGAAAGCTTACAAGTGTAAGAACGTCGACCCACCTGTGAAGTACCGGGGTGGCAGTGTCATGCTGTGGGCGTGTTTTGCTGCAGGAGACATTAGAGTGTCCATTGGTGGCAACAGTGAGGAAAGAAATATTGAAGCAGCATCTGACGTTAATATGTCAGGAAGTTAAAGCTCCTGATAAGTCACAATCGACGGCCACTGTGCTGTTGCCTAGCAACCCCAGCTGAGCCCAAGTGGAGCTCCAACACATTTGGTCAGCTGCGCGGTACAATGGCTGCTGTAAAAGACAACTGTTTTGTTGTTGACTTACCGTCCAAAAACCACTTGCTGCATTCTTGTTTTTTTATGCAGGAGGCTCCACTTCTGCTTTTCAAAGATTTACAGCGGAGTGTGACCAGCAGCAGCTTATTTGAATTTAAAGTGACAAGAGACCCAAAAACACCTCAAAATAGGCAGAACTGACCAAACTGAAATCTCATTATGTAAGAATGATTATGGGGAAAATATTTTGTGTAGATCATAGGCCTATTCTAACTTGTTCAAGGAAGCATAGTGATCACATCTAGATTCCTGGAAGTACTTTATAAGGAAACAAAGTGTTTAAAATTGTGTACAGTATTGTATATTTTAGAGTAATTTTTCAGTTTTTTCTGATTCCTCTCTGTCTGTCTCTGCAGCCAGGTCCCTGTCCTTGTCTGACAAAGAGAGGTTTATTTTGAGCGGCTCTGCAGACTGCAACGTGAAGATCTGGGCCCTGAGCATCGGTATGCTTACCACACCAACACAAGATTTACTTTCTTGAAATATAATGGCCTGCATGTTGTCAATTAAACAGCATTTGCTGTTCCCCTCAGGGCAGTGTGTTAAGTCCATCTACACGTTCAACGCCGTGACTGCGCTCTCCTTTGCGCCTGAGGGGGACGGCTGCATCATCACCGGTTCAGGTGTGTTTCTGCCGGGGCACAAAGTGCAAGCGACACAGCGGACAGAATAATTGGTCTGTTTCCGTTGACGCATGTGCACAATTTCATCCCAAGTCCGTGTTTACGTCTTTACTCATATCCCTGCCGAGTCTGACTCCGTGGCATCATCTGCCACCGAGTTACTGTAGCGCAATGCGTTTGGGTCGATTCGGCTGTCTGGCTCAGGTGTGTCAGCTGTGACCAGCGATAATGACTGCCAGTCGCCTGTCTTCACACGTTAACCTCACACTCTGTCACCCTGCAGACGGGGGGAAAGTTCAAGCCTGGAGCTGGCACACTTTCCAAAACTGCCAGTCAGTCAAGGCACACGAGGAAGCAGTCACCTCCATCCAGGTGTGTTGTGTTTATTTGGTCATAGTCAGTGAGAAAAAGCAGGCGATGCCCTTTACATGAAGGCCTTCTGGCCTCTGGCTAATTTGAACGCGCAGTCCCTGCTAGGACATTTCAATTAAAAGGAAATAACATGCAGCTGATTTAATAAAGTTGTTCACATCCACCTATAACAAGAGATGAAAAACATCTGTTACTTCTGCAATTTATTGGTTTAAATATAATTTATTGGTGGTTATTATTAATTTTTATTTATTTATTTGGGTCTTAAAGTCAGATATAAAACTAAATTAAAAAGGACGGGACCTAAAACTGTTGTGATCTGTGTTTTTCTGTGTAGTTATTTTGAGATTTTCTGTTAAGTCCCGTTTCCCTGTGAGTCTGTCTTGTCCTCCCTGTTGATTGGTTCCAGCTGTGTCTAGTTTACTGATTACCCTCCCTGTATATTTAAGTCCAACTGTTGTCTTTGTCTCTTGTCGGATCCTCGTCGTGTGTACGTCTTGTGTGCATCTCTGTCATTCCCGTTGCTTCCTGTGCGGCCCGTTTGAATTCTGTTCCGTCTGGATTATTTCATTATTAAATCATCTTCATCCTGCGTCCTCCCTCACCACCTCACTTCTACTACAAATCATGACAAAAACGGTTCCCTGTGGAACTCCTAAGCTCCTGTTTAAAGGTCCCATTTAGATGTCATACAAATCCAGATAATGGTGATGTATATTATTATTTTCAGAGATTTAGATTACAGTTTTGTGATTTAATGAGTCAGATCTTCTGATTTATTTTTCAGGATAGCACTCTCCTTCACCCCGGTGACGTTCAAACTGAGACTTAAACATATTTATACCAGTGTCTTCAATATATTTAAAACATTTTGTATTGTTAATTTTGAAGAAAAAAAAGCTTCTTTTCAAAGAAATACAGCTGGCAAGTTTCCACACTTTCAGCTTTTCCTTATTTGTTGCTTTCAAACGGATATAAAGATATTCGCTGAGATCCAGGCTGTGGAGCTGGCCCAATTTTAGAGCATGCTGTTTGTTTTTCTTTTAGCAAAAAGGAGGTTTTTATGAAAACTGAAACCCAGAGCTGCACATGCACAGTTTTTTTTATATTTTTTTTCAATTTGCAAACATCATAATACGCCTAAAGCATTAAAGCATCACACATTATTGTCACCCTCTTTGTTGTTTCTCATGCAAAGCACACAATCCATTTATAACCAGCAGCGGAATGAAAAACATCTTAAAATATTCACTTTAATTCCATTTCCACAAACATACATGCAACACACACACACACACAGGCAACGCTGGGTAAGGACTTGAATCACCATGACAACCATGTCTCTGGTGCCCTCCACAGTCTCAGGGTCCTTTGGTGTTCAGTGGCTCGGCTGAGGGGGGGGTGTCTGTGTGGGAGAACCGGCGCTGGGAGAGAGAGCCCCTCCAGCTGCTGCACCACTGGAGCAACCAGGTGACGGGCCTCAGCAGGGGGCCGGGCGGCCGACTGACGCTCAGCCCGCGCGGGGACCGGGTGATACTGGCGTACGGTCGAGCCTCCATCAAGATCCTACACTGGAGGACAGGTGAGCCGCAGATGTTCGGGAAATCTGCATAATCCTCCCGACTAACATCTGTTCAATTACCACAGGAGTGATATCCAGGCTGACCAATCACAGCAGCATCACCGGCGTGACAGATTGTGTTCACCAGACGGGGGGCATCCTAATTGGCTCCTGCTACGACCTGGCGAACGGAGAGAGCTCCCTTAACTGTGAGTCAAAGATTAAAGCGTACGCAGCCAGAAGCTCCTCCTGCTGCTCTGAGCGTGAAAACACAATAAGGACTTAAGTCGAAACCACTCTGTGCCCCTCTGCTGACCTCCAAACCTTTAATCTCTTTCTCCTCTCTGCAGTGTTCTCTCTGCCTCAATGTCGCTATCTGGCCTCCCTGACCTGGCCGGATGCTCCCAGAATCCTCTGCTTCGCGGCGTGGACGACTGGTAGCGGAGACCACCGCTGGGTGACCGGCGGCCGAGACCTCGTAGTGTGGGAGCAGCTCCCCAGTTCTGGGAAAAACAGGTGGGTTCGGCTCTTACCGGCATTTCAGATCCAAAGTTTCTTATTTAAATTTATGGGTTCCTTTGCAGACCTGGCAACATGGAGCGCCCTCTGTGATTACTGAAAACTGCCATAAAGGGGATCTATCATGCAAAATTCACATTTTACACATTTTTATGCTTCCATTTGGGTTTCTACTGCTTCTCAAAATACTTCCAGTGATTAAAATAAACACCCAGCATTTATTGGAAATAAGTTAATACTTTTTAGTGTCTGGACAATGAGCCTTTTCAAAAACCTCCCAAATGTAACATCACAAATCAGCAGGCACTGCCAATTGAAACCCAGCCCGTTACCTAGCAACCCCTGCCAAGCCCAGCCCGTTACCTAGCAACCCAAGCTGAGTTCCAGCACATTCTGTCAGCTGGTTTCACTACTCTCTACTTCTGCTTTTCTAATATGTACAGTTATATAGTTGCACATCTGTTTGAAGCCGTTTTCACATATAAGTGTAAACTTTGAATTGGGGGCATGGCCACCAGCGGCTTCTTTGGATTTAAAGTGACAAGACGCCCTAAAACAGCTCAAGTAGGCAGAACTGACCAGACTAAAATCTCATTATCTAAGAATGATTTAGTGGAAAAAAAAATTTAATGAACATGTTTTGTGTAGCCCATAGACTTATCCTAACCTGTTCAAGAATGAGCTTCCTGCTCATTCAGAAATGAGCAGGAAGTTAAAAATTCAAAGGTTGACACTTTTATCACTTTAAAAAGTAAAGAAAAGATTCCAAAATTGCTTCAATTGTGTTTATTTTCTAGGAAGTAATTCAGGTCCCGATAAGTGTTGAAAACTAATTATTTCTTAACCTGGGATTTAAATCACTCTGAGGAGAATGGGAAGAGCGAGGGAATGGAAATTAGTTTTGTTTTCTGAACTTATTCTTTCTAAAAAATCTGAATATCTAAACTGAACCACCAAAGCAACCCGGCTGCTTTCTGAATTGATTACTTTATGCAAAACTAAGGACCATATTATCATAATGTAAACTACAAACACATGCCTTCTGAAAGTTTTATGGATAGACATTACACAGATGATGGAAAACCTAATGACAGGATTGAACCCTGTAATTTGTGGAACATTAAGTTATTAGAGAAATACGTGAGAGATTTTTAAAAGTTTTGTTTCCTGCAGTATTTTTGTATCAATTTGTGCTTATTCATCATGTTAGTTAGCACCTTGCATATAAAACAGCAAGTATATTGAAATCTTCATTTCTTTTTTGCAAAACAAGTCTTGCCATGAAAACTGCCTAAGTTGCATTTAGGTCTGGACTTTGACTAGACTGTTCTAAAACATGATGAGTATGTATTGATCTGAAGCATATTGTGTATATATATTTACACATAAATATACATATATATATAGATATACTAATGAAAAAAATTTATTTTGTAAAGAAAAAAATAATTGCATTTTTTCAATGACTGTTTTACACATAATTGATTAAAAAACATTGAGTAATGGGTCTCGCTAATTAAGTTAAAGACAATATATTAGTTTAATTCCATTAGATTAAATTGAATTGGTGAAACTCAAATGCATTATATTTGATCAATAGATATTTGATTTAAACATTACAAAAAATTAAGTTGAATGAATTTAATTTATTTAAATTGAAGAAACACATTGTTTTTATTGAATGAATCTAAAATTGAACTGAGTCATTTTTGTGAGTGTGCTTTGTTTTGCTGCAGGGTTGATGTGAAGCCTTAGTTTTCCTCCGCATACAGAGTCCGGATCATTTTCTTTCCCCTTCACAGACGTATTTCCTTCTATTAGTCATCTACATAAAATCCCAGTGATGTAACATGACAAATGTAGAAAAAGTTTAATACTTTTTCAAAGCACTCAACAACAAAAGCACGTAGAAACCCTGCAACGTGTGTTACTCCCTCTCTGGGTCAGATGAATTAAATTTCCAGGCGCTACAGGATTTAAATGTGTGCTAATAGGTTTATCTGTCTGCGTCTCCTCTGTTAATGTAATGCGTTTAGTTAATCCGGGTCTAAATATTACAGGGGTGACGTCACGGTGAAGAGAGACAGCCTGATGGACACGACGGTTCTGGAGTCAGAGTATGACACCGAGGAAGACGAGGACACCAACGGTACACGTCTTCACGTCTCCCACAAGTTTTAATGAGTGGAGCAGCAGAAACAAACGGCGTTGTGTTTGTTTAGAAGACACATGTGGTGATAAATCCCTAATGAAAGCGTTTTGGGTTCCAGATTACGAGGATAATGAGGACGGAGGGGCTGAGGAGGACGGCTCGCGTGGCTCGTGGCCGCGCTGCGTTCTCCAGTGAAGCTCAGGACTCCACGGCCTGCAGCCACCAGCAGGAAATGAGAGGGTGGGAGAAGTGACAGACTGAGCGCCAGTCTGGGAGGAAGAGGAGGGGAGCATATGGACACGGAGAGAATGAGTGACTGAGTGTGTGTGGACGTGTGATAGGCAGATTGTTTTCTCTGTAAATATTTTCACGTTCAATAAAGCCGTCAAACTGTGAGTGCAAATTTGCAGCTCTTGTCTTTTTTTTCTGTCTCCCTCTCTCTTCCTCTCTCCTCCTCTCCTTTGATTTCTGGGTGACCCTGCCTCTTCCTGACACACCAGTTCATCGCATCCACTTCCCTGCCGGAGTAAACCTGATTAAATGAGCTGGAATCACATTTTCTGCTCATTCTTTCCTCCCCGTCTCTTTTTCTCGGAGCTGTCCTCGTAAACACCACAGAGTTACTTATTGTTTTATGCTTTAACCTCTCACCTCCATAATTACCTCATTAATGTCGTCCTTTGTATCACTCCCTCTCCTCTGTGTCCATTTAATAAAAATAATAAAGCATAATGAGCATTTAAATCTCTTTCCTACAGTCTGCTGCCCTCCTCTACATCGTTCTCTCTCCCCTCTCTTACTCTACCAGACTACATGTCTCAGTCACTACGGCAACCGATGCTTTTTTTCTTCTTCCTCACTTGCTTTCTGTATCTCCCCCCCTCTCGTCTCCCTCTCTCTCATTCCCTCTCTCCGCTGCCAGAGGTAAGCATGATAACTGATATGTGTCTGAGTGCTTGTGTCCGACTCCCGGCGTGCCTGCGCTGTCTCCCGGTGACATTTCTTTGGCATTTCGGGGAAGAAAGTTCCCCGTTTCTGCCCAAAGTGCCGTACTGAGTCCTGGCTCCGTGCATGACGCTGGAAATGATGATTAATGTGCTGCGCTCAGGTGTAACTGTGTGAAAGGGACAGCAGACCTGACAGTGAGTGTGGACTTTTTTTGCATGCTGATGTTGGTTCTGTGCAAACATGTGGCGTGTAACTGAGTGGTAAATTTAGATCTCCCTTGGGGAGGCATTGTTAAGATTGTTTTGTTTTTTTTTCTTTTCTTAATATCTTCTTTTAAGAGATAAAGTTGGCTTTGAGCCAGCCCACATGCTGGGTTCTGTGTTTTTAAATGGGAAAAATAGATAAAGGGGAAAAGAGCAGGACGCTCCCTCCCCTCTTTCTTCTTTTCTGTATCTGTCTTGCCCTCATGTCTTGCAGAGATGATCGGAGAAGAAGAGTCTCTGTGAACACAGCGAAGCGATGGAGAGATGGTAAGATTTCTGAGTATGGGATGCAGATGCATAAAATGTCACTCTGATTGATGGCTGGCATGGGAATCAATGCCTGAGCTGCTGAGGCTGTGCACAGTGCCTCTGGGCAACTGGTTCTCTCTGATACATGCTGTCCACACATCCTTAAAAAGTCCATGTATCTAAAATTAAGGCCTTTAAATGTCCTACATTAGTTGAAAAACAATAAGTTGGCCTTAGTTAATCACAGGCGTTACATTTTGTCGGGGAAACCTAAACGAAACATTTAAGTTTCGTTTTTCTTGCGGGACTTTACTATTATGGAAAACTTTGAGTCATAATCAGATACTATTATTGTGCGGCTACGCTAACTAGCTGCTAATAAGCTAGCTAGTTTCTTACTTCCATTATTTGTAAGTGGAAATTTGTCGGTAGTTGATTGGATGATGTTTGTTTTCGTAATTTTCTCACTTCCGTTGCCAACTCATACGATGTATTTATTAGCGATCCCCCCCCCCCCCCCCCCCCCCCCCCCCCCCCCCCCCCCCCCCTCCTCTAACTAATAACTACTACCCGCTGCGCGGTGCAGA